TGCTAAATAAATTAGGCATCTGATTATTAAAAATATCGTGAATTACAATGGCCATTTGACAAGGCTTACCTTACGATGATTTACAATTTTTAAAATATTCGTCTTGTTCGACTGAAAACCGTATATACACGACAAGTTAATGTTGCCTCGAAGAAAAGCGAACTATAACTCAATAATATTGATTGTCATTAGTCACGTAACAAATAATAATATTTTTACCTGTCAAACTGTCTTTGACAAAAATATATGCAAAAGGATAAAATAATCGATGAGGGCCGACAAAACATATGATGGAAAAAAAAAAGCACTATTATATTGTTTTAAATTATGAGCGGAGCGTTTTATGGTTGTACAATATTATTATGTGGTTTTTTTTTTTGTTTATTTACATGTTGTTATGCTTTTGAATTGAATGAGATTTCCTGAAATTTCGTACAGCTCCTCTGTCGATTTTTGGGACCCGAAATGAAATTCGTTAATGAAATATTTTGTTTTTCATCATCATAACGGTTTTCGATAAAATTACAAGCCACCGAATAACGGCTCACCTAAATTATGCTGTGCACAGTTTTAAATCAAATCCACCGCCTGATCGCCTGATCTCGGTTGTTTAATTGTTTTGTAGAAAATTAAAATCGTACAACGGAGGTTTCAATAATATATTCGAACCGATTATTTATGTAATCGCCGCATAATAGCAGCAGCACACTGTGTGCGGTTTTCGAAGAATTTCATCAGTTTTCAGAATGTATACCTACTTAATTTTTACATTAATACCATCGGTAAAAATTAGAAACAAACCCCTAGCGCCTTAAAATATTTTTAATCAAACGCATAACAATAATAATATATTATTGTGTAGCACGACTACAAAAATCGGTTAAAGTATATAATATTATAATAGTACCTACCTACCTACGATGATAGCTGACAGACTTGAGCATAATTGTTAAAATCGACAATCATACAACACAATACGCTATTCGTATTCGATTCAGCTCGATATTACAATAGTAATATAATAATAATCACAATATATATTATAATATGAATATAAAATAATGTCGTTATTCGGAGCTTAACTCGCCTGCAGTTTACCTCTTCTCGGTTTCAAATCGATAACGTCGGTAATAATAATATTCAGACGTAATAATCGCATCGTTTTAAATGTATTTATTTTCGAATGATTATATTTCGATGGTTTTTTTAATATCCCCACGCAGTGCCCCGGTCGACGTTAATCGACAGAAATCCGTCGGTCATATTGCGGAATTGCTGTTAATCATCGTAGACGGCCTGCAGGTTTTTAATCGATAATATAATAATATCATATTATATTTATAACGAACATTTTTGATTTCGTTTTCAAACCGCGAGCGAGTGTCATTGCTCCGTTTAGGGCCAGCCGTACACAAATTAGATTTATTATTTTATTTTTCGCTTTCGAGTAAATGTTTTTTTTTTTACTTTTTTCCCGGGCCAGGTAAACTCACTGTGCCGTGCATTATCGGGCCGTGACCTTTTTCGCCCGTTTTCTGCAGCTCATAATATATTCATGACCATATATAGTAGTAGAGGTATTTTTCGAATAAAAAAATAATAAAAAACAACTAAATTGTTGAATACGATTCGCAAGTAATTACGAATAATTATACGAATACTTGTATGTATATTGTTTACACACAAATGCTGTGTGCCTACTTAAACAAGACCGTTATACATAATAATAATAATATTATTATTATTACTTTCGTTATGCTCTCTCTCTTGGACCACAGTTATTATTATCTACGCCGTAGACAATTATTCTACTTAAATTGTTATTACTGTTGCGCTTTTGTAGTCTGTCATTATTTTGCGTTTATTCCGTTTATGAGCATGTTATTAAATTGTTTTGAATTTTGCGCTACAAAATTTAACGATTTGATGGACGTGATAGGTATACATTATAATCCTATTATTTACCAATACATTTATACATTATCATTACCTGAATCCGACATCTCTGTTTCACTATAACGACTATCAAAACTCTCTAGAAAACATAATACATTTTATTTGACGGCTGCAGAACGACATAATATACAATTGTAATAAAATTTGTTTTATCGCGAACCGTTAAAGAATTTTGAGTTTATATTATAGTTTAACAGCCAATTATTCGCAAATTGAAACAATATATATTATTATCTTGTAACTTCAATGAAAAAAAAAAAAAGAAAAAAGTACATAACAAATAAATAATAATGACCACTAAATAAAGTATAAACCGACAGAAGTCAATTTATCTAGAGTACATTTTCTTATGCGAATGAAAAACTTTTAGTCTAAATCGAGGTTAAGAAATTCTAGCTATAATGTATATTAACGAAATGAATATATATATATATATTATAGTGCATGCGTATACATATATACATGTCAGCAGATTGGCATTTTCAATTAAACATAGGGTCTCCTTTTTTTTTTTTTTATATTATTTTCCTTTTCGCCGGTGACCTTTCTCGATAAAACGCGTCTGGGAACACAGTGTTTTCGGTTCTGTAGATAAATAATGGATTTAATAGAGGACCGGGAGACAACGGGAGACACCCATCAGCGAGGTCCGTGAATAAAAGATTAATAATGGAATATTAAGACGACTCGAAAAAAAATAAAAAATAAAATGAAAATATCACGCCGCCGCCGACGGGAGCTGCAGACTCTCTGCAGCTGTGTAGGTTTATATAGTTAACTAAAAAGATCGTCTATATTATTATGTACGATAAACAGAGCCGTCTTAGATAATAAAACAAGCAGCGGGCAAACGTCCCATAGAGATTTGCCATCGCCAGCTCAATCCGTTGAAGAAAAAGAAAGAAAAAAGTGGTGGGGGTGGGGGGTGGGGTGGGACAAATGCCCGTGTCTGCGTGTGGGTGTGTGTGTGTGTGTGCGTTCCCCTTAACGACGCCATGGTTTTTAAACCTCCAGATCCTTTAGTGCTGTTGTTGTTTTTTTTTTCCCCTTTTTTTATATTCCTTTCTGCGTGCAGTTTTTTTTTTTTTCGTATTTTCGTTTTTTTCCTCACTCTGCTCGGCTCACTGTATATATATATATATATACCGGATCAGAATTTCAAACAGGACACGATTGTGTCCCGACACTCGACAATCGACGTCGACGAAAAAATTCCACGCAGAACACTCTGAAAATAAGACCGGGCCGTTTAAAATATACGTCTAATTTCTTTTTCTTATTTTTTTTTCTCTTTTTGAGCTTTCGAATCCCTCTCGGCCGTGTTAACCACGTCGATTTAAGAAATGGAAAAACTGCGGAGAAACCTCTTCGCTACGATTCAACCGTATTTGCATACAATTTTATTATATACACATTTGTACATACGCCATGCTATCGTGTCTGGGTAAATTCAACCATTTTTCCACGGTATAGGACACACATAATATATAGTTTTATCAGTCAATTATAAGACATTCTTCGCTTTTTTAAATTCTAATTTGAAACCACGAGCATGTAGGTGCCACCAATTTCGCTAAAACAATTGTCAAGTCGAGTATTTAACCGTCGCCTTTTCCGAGTGGATTTTTAGACTATTTTCCGTGGGACGTTGTCCTCCAAACATCGAACATATTGAACCGCTAGTTTATTATTTATAAACCTTTGGAGTTTAGTTAAAAGCCAGGGTTGAGTGCCCGGAAAGTAATAATTATATACCACGCAAATGTCCATAATAAACTATCGGTTCAACGTTCGATACCTATTTTGGTCTCGACATTTTCAAAAAAAATATTTAGATTTAATTATATACGCTACGTTTCGAGCAGTTTCGAGCCAACGTAGCGCAAGACTCAAAAATTACCACCGACATAAATTCCGCAGTAACGAATTCCGATAACTTTACAAGGCATTTGCGTCACTTTGAATATCCCGCAAACTCACTTTTGTCTGTGTATAGTATAATAATAACAAAGTACGGAATTCCGATATCTTCACTTCAGGTATTTCGCTATACATTTCGGCTTTTAACGCTCGATAATCCGGTGTCATAATATATATATATATATATTACGATGTACGCGGTTTGGGGATTATATGCGATTCGCGCTTTTGAAACATCATAAAACAAAGTATATTATTATGGATTTATGGCGTTTTAATTACATAATAATATACACATCGGCGGAAATTTATTCCGGGACGACGACGACGCAAATAACACGACCACTTATTATTGTATACATATAATAGGTGTGTGCGGCTTGTGACGACCATGGTTGGTTACCAAACAAGGAAAAATAATCGATAAGAGTGAACGAAATGAAAAAAAAAAAACACCCAAGTTCGCATGCGGTAAAAGTTAGACTAAAAATATAATATTAATATGTAGTGCAGTTTATGCGCGAACCATGTTATTATACGATTTGCCATAAACATGATATGCATATTATATATATATATATTTAAAGAGCGGCGGCGTATTACGGTGGTATATTGGGTGGCCCAGCAACAGTTTGGTTTTTTATGGCGGACAAACTTTTTTTTTTCCCCCTTGGCTGAAAATATTCGACTCCGGATGAAAAACGTGAAAACCTGAAACATAAAAAAACTAAATATGGTCCGATAAAGATTTTCTGTCAAATGCAATTCGCCCATAAATATGTGGTGGTGCACTTATATATTATATCGGTGCAGCACGGTGAATTATTTTTTTTTTTTTTTATTTCTTTTTCCTCCTGTCGTTCGGCAAATCCACCCAATTATTTCACATGAGTCGATACTATAATATACTATCTGCGCCCAATTACATCGCTTACCACTCGGGGAAATAATAATCAGACATACATTTCGTATTACTACGAACAACGTCGTACAACGTATATATATATATATATATATGTGTGTGTGTGTCTGTATTATAATGTAACGAACCGTATTTATATATAAATGTATATTTACAATATATCGGTATATTACATGACATTATTTTTTTTTTTTGCTTACAGAATGGAAGAGGGAGCGGCGAAAACATTAATAGAGCGAATGGGTAAGTAAAAAAATAATAATAATAATGATGGTAATATAAGTAACTCTAGTTTAGTACCAGAATATAGGGGTTGTCGCGTCTCGGGGGTTGATACGCGGCACGCGTATATGTTTTACGGAATAGAAATTGGAAGACAGACGTTAAGGGTAAACGAAACGTCATCGTTTTTATTGTACTATTATTGTTACTACAGTACTGTTTTTGTTGGCGTATAAGTCGATGAGCGAAACACGAACGAGAGTGAGATTAAATCATAATGCGGCGAGTCATATAGCAGTGGGCCGAGTCATATATAGTAGACGACATTGTGTTGTTATTATTACACATATTGTGATGATGTAAATGATTTCAGGGCTGTTATTCGATATCCCTCACAACCACCGCAACGAGTATTTGCACACACTCGCGTCCCATACACTCACCATATAAAGAGTTTAAAAGTACGTGTTAACCCTAGACTTCCTCTGTGTGTGTGTGTGTTTTTACCGCCCCACACGTGTATCCGTCACATCCGGCCGCCTCTTGCGGTATGATGGTTTTAAAGAGCTTTGTGGGGAGGGGGGGAAGGGTTCGGCCCATTGAATTTTTGTGTCCCACATTTCTGGGTGTGTGTGTGTACGAGCACGGATGAAAAGGAAAATATAATAGCGACAAGAGAGGGCGTGTGTGTGTATGTATGTGGTACGCGTAGGTGGGTGTAATCCGTAAGTGCACTTCTATGCCTCGACGAGGAGTGCAGGTGAACGACGGCGACCTGTCTGATAACAAACTTTCGATTGGCGCTTGGTGCGGTGGCAGAGGAGTTAGGCGCCGGGATAAAAGGGGTGGGGGGGGTGAAATGTCATTTTATGTTTATTTATCGGGTGACAACATTGAAAGCCGTCGTCGTCGTCGTCGTCGTCTTTGGCGGTACCTATGTATACGATAAAAGTAAACATATGAAATTAGTACCGCCTGCAGTACGAGCAGTGATTGAATTTCTGCCGAGTGGGGGTTGTATAGGTATGAGGACTGCGTCTTCTCTTTTAATTACTCTTATATTAATTCTAAGCGCCTCGGCCTCTTCTATAATTTAAAACAACATTTAAGTCATTATAAATATCATGACATTATGACATCTCCGGGTCCGCATACTACCCCTAATTGAGTCCCATACCTGAAAGAGGAAAAAATAATATTCTAATTGAGTCGCAGAAAATGAAAGAAAAAATACCAATTGTGTCCGCGATCGGGAAACAAAAAGTATACTAATTAAGTACGCACTTGGAAATAATAAAATACATCAGTCGAGGATTTTTTATTTTGTTTGTGTTGTATTGTACATTTTTATAGTTCTGAGTGAAATAGAAATGCCAACATTTTTGAATACTGAATCAGTACATCAACTATTTAACATATACTAATCAAAAAAAAATGATAATATAGAAAATTAAATTAAAAAAATAAAATGCCAATATTATACAAACAAATATTAAGATTTGAATACCATAAAAAATTTATCGATATACGACTTTATTTATTTATTATTTTTAATTAAAATTAATAATATGTACATTATTCACAAACATTTACAAATAATTAACATTTAAAAAAACAACATTTTTAACCCATATACCCGTAGAACTTTTCTTACAAGCCGTTCTAAGCTTGTAAAAATGGGAAGAAAAATGTTTTTTTCATAGTTTGTCTGGATTCAGTATTAAAACAAAGACTCAGTGGACTCAATTAGTGTTAAATTTTAATTTTTATGGGACTCGATTCGTTCTAAACGGTTAATTAGGACTCAGTTCGATCACAATAGTGATTATAATAGCTCGTCCTTGTCTCTTTCTCTTTTGTCCTTTCTCGTCATTCGAGCTAATTTATTTTTATATCTGACGAAATATTTTTTCTCACTTAGTGTTTCTCGTTCTCTCGCAATTCCTTCATTAAAGTATGCTTTCGGTAAATCTTATTTGATCATGTAGGCTCGGTATAAAACTCACCGTGTGCCAATAGAAATTGGATGGCACTGGTTGTTAACTTTCTGGTATTTGTAGGATAAATATTGTATATTTTACCTAGTATGAAGATCGTAAATTTTTTTTCTTATTCAACAAAAGTCAAAACCTTACAGAGATGTCTACAGTAATAAAATGCACGTGATCTTACTGTGTTATATATTTTAGACACCCTGGAGACAACCCGTTTTATAGCAACATCGACAGCATGCCGGATATTCGACCCAGGAGAAAATCTATCCCTCTTGTCTCGGAACTGGTAAGGAAAATGTTTAATATTAATATAATATTTAAATTCATCCTTTCCCCTCGTTATAACTATTATTGGGAACGTAAACTCCCAAAAATTGGATATTCATCGAGTATATATACAGCGTTTGTGTAAAGTAATAATATTATTATAATTCAACCGAGAAACGAGTGTGCCCGGTGATATTTTTTTGGTAGTAAATATTTTTGTACAAATTTTCGCTTCTAAGTGTATACCGTATATTATAATTTCTTCATGTGAAATGGTTTCTCTTATCTCCTCATGTTTTATGTTGTTTTTATGTGTACCTATATGAATGTTTTTTTTTTTTTTTTTTTTTTTTTTTTTGCTGCTATTCCACGTGTTCTCATCATGTTTCCTATGTAAAATATGTTCTTTAGACATCCTTAATAGATTTAATTTTTTTTTTTTCAACACGATTTCTTCATTTCAAACGCTAATCATTCATGATTTATATACTTTAAACTTTTATTTTATTTTTTAAAATAACGATGATATATTATTATTGCACATAATATCATTGTATGTATCTCAATTGAATAAGTGTTATATAATATATATATATGATAATTATAATATGTAGGCTCATTGAAATAGCTCAAACATTTAGGACTCATTACTTTTATTTTTTTAACATAAACATGTAAACTAACTAATTTGTGTTATATTGTCTGTTGTTTGTGATCTTCACGCATCGATCCAGGTTCTCAAGGTATAGCGTTCTTTTTTTTTTATTTTTACCATTTATTTAGAGAAAAATATAGAGCACGCTATTAGATCTGGTGACGTGGTTTTTCGTCCATGAAAACACACATTCACTAACACACTAAACACAACACACGCACACACACATATCACACACACACACACCGCTTTAGCACCAAACCATTTTATTATAACACTAAAATTTAAATTTCTATTTTCTAGAAATTCCAAATATTAAAATTATTTTAGAGGTAGAATAAAATAGCTAAGCAAATTGTATCTTTTATATATTATATTTATTTTTTTATGTAACATACACTTTTGCTTAGTTTTTTCTATTAGCTTTGTTTGTTTATATATTTTTATATAATGTACATCTTAAAATATTTTATGTATATTTGTACAGTTTTCAGCATTTTCACTAATCAATATGTTTTAACAAATCTATGCATTATATTATAGAATTAGAATTAAACGATTTAAATTTTATTTTATATATTTGAATACACGCATACATACCATTAGAATTAAAAAAAATACTTTCTACAAATTAGTTTATTCAAAAAAACAACTATAGGTCGTATCTAATATAATTTTAGGGTAATAAACTACATTATGTACCTACCTGTAATAATTATATCGCAGTACCTATTTCTATTACATGACTGATTAATTAATTATTTTACTTAACGTATAGAATGTTTACAGTAGTTGTTATAAAAGTTACCTTGAATAGCAAAAAAAAATAAAATGGTGTTGGAATGACATTTGAGATTGATTCTAACGGGAATGAATCTTTTGGTTTATGACCACAAATAAATGTGAGGCTGTACATAATATTACATGTGAAACTACGGTACATCATACACATATTGTATAATGAAATGTCATAATGAACTTCTTAAGTGCTCAAACTCTGTTCCTTGTAGGTAATTTATTAGACTTATACGAGCACTATAGATCCGTGTATAATATAATATAATATAATACGTCAACTTTAATTTAATACATCCACTTAATTTCATTAACCTCTAGATAATACTTTAACATTAATTAAAAAAACATCGACCCTCCCGATAACACTTAAGTGCCTAACATAAATTGCGACTATTTTTATGCAATATTCATATTTTTTTTTTTTTTTTTTAATAATTAATATTGCATGCATTACGTTTCTATGCACATTTCAATTCGTTAAAATGGAAATTAAATCGTTTCTAACATAGAATTAGTTTTAATATGTAACATATTATTATTATTATAATATTTAGTTTACGTAGCCTTATAGACAATTAGTGTTTTTAATTTATTCATTTATATATTATTAAAAATATATATATATTTTTTTTTTTTTTTACAACTCTAATCCAGTTTAATAAACTGTAGGTGGCTGCGAACACAATACAAAATACTAATCAATAACGATACAGTTATAATATAATAGACATGTGCATGTGTGTTATAGCTGAAAAGCCGCGTTAATTTAAATACTAGGAAAACAAATGAAACACGTCATTATTATATTTTTATTATCTAAACGTTTTGAAAAAAAGAAAAAACTAAAACCGTTAAAAAAACTGTAAGCTATCATTTTGCACATGTTTATTAAAGTCTTAACAATTTGGTTCCGATACGTTACTATTACTTTGAGCTAGATAGAAACTAGATGGTAGTAATGCGCTTATCCAAGTAAAACAAAATATGTCTCGTGATTTCGTTCATATAGACATAATTTAACATTAAATGAGAATTTGCTCGAGGAAATGTGTTTTCGAAACGTCTTTAACAAAAAAAAAAAAAAACGTACCTGCCCATTATTTATTACGAATCGCATAATAATTTCAAAAATTATAATTACGATCCTCAAATTATTTATATTATTTTTTTTCATTGTTGTGTCGGAAAAAAATTTCAAAAAAGTATTTTCCTCGGGCAAACTCTTGAGTCAGTACTTTTGTCTGGAATAAGAATGTTTTCAACAATACTTGTACTTTTTTTTCAAATGATATTATATAATACGAATCTAAATAAGTATATCTTACCACTATAGAATTATGACGGAAACCTAATTTATGAGTATTTATTTTTTTTTTGCCTATAAAAAAAAAAAAACAAATATTTAAATTATTACACGGCGTAGGTATATATCGGCTAATGTGCCGAGTAAAAATTAGTCCAACATTATAATAAGTTTTTATTTTAATGTGGAAACGTTGTAATAATATGTCAATATTTATCTTAAAAAGGAACATTGATGCACGTGAAAAAAAAATGCCATCTTTACTCGGAGTTTCTTTTTAAGCTGGCATCATTATTTTCCCTTTATGACTACAACATCAACATCAAGGGTGAAATATATACAGCACAGTAGAAAGAGTGTTGAAAAGTTTCTCGTATCATTTCTTCTGCGAGATATTATATTTACGAATATATTATGAATAATATAATAATACGATGATATTATATACGTTCTTAAACCACTTACATTATAGTCGTCACAACATTCTTATTCCATTTTGAGTATTATAATAATATAGTGATATCAATAATTTGGTGAGTTGTATAATAAAGTCGGTTTATATATTTTAATAGCATCATGGGTGTAATTATTAAACGAGTACACATTATTGCATAAATGCTTAATACTTACGCTTATGGTTAAAATAGCTTTATTGCTCACCGTTTCGCGTTTTTACATTATTAATTTATTATTGGAATTCTTGTGGGTGTATTTTAGACAATGGCCGCCACAAAAAGAAACGCAGGACTGGCGTCAGGAGTTCCACGTCCTACACTCAACGACGAAGAGCTGGTTAGTACCGAACTGAACAGATCACTTGTACTTTTTCGTTATTAAAAAATAGTTTGTCAAATGAAAAAATTCCAAGGTTTACTTTTTCAAAGTTTTCTTTTTATTTGTTTATTTATATATATATTTTTTTTTAGCTCAACAGAGACTGTTTAAAAGTCGCAACTCTTATCTATCAGTCTGAATCCAAAATAATACATTCTATTCCAATTTCACGAAATGTCTTATAAATTAAAAAAACACGCGAAAAGATAATAGAAAAATGAACCCATAAATTGTAATATTATTTCCAACCGTTTGACATGATACGATAGCAAATATATTTTCTAATATTCGCCCTTACTACATTGACAAAAATAAGACGCATATCATTATTTCCATAAATGTATAGAAAAATAACAAATACGAGTACCTAAGGATAGGTACTAACTTGGGATAGTTAATTATTATTTTTATGGTAATAAATATCAAAACGAATGAATTAAATTAATTTATAAACAATTCATTTACATTAAACATTTTACTAATGTTTTTATGTTAGCCCTTAAAATATAAACACATTAATTTCATTTTATATTAATATTTTTTTTTTTTTTTTACAACGAATAGAGGTACATACTCGCACATGTATTTTTAATTATAATGAAAACTCATTAAAATTGTTTTATCATGATTCACTGTACATAGTTTATTTAAATTATTCATTCATTCGATATAAATTTACACTGTACCTGTAGTGTAGTGTATACCCTATAGAAAAATGTATAAAAAGTTGTTTGTGATTCATTAAAATCTATTTCACACGGTTCTGAATCTTTTATTCAAACCGTACTCGGTTTTTGCCACATATGCGTTGTCGATTCGAATCAATTTTGGACACCTTTGAAATTCCGACCAGCTACTTTTATAAATGAGGTAATAATAACGAATTATTTTAAAATATGTGACAAAGTACTTCGGACCAAAAAAAAAAAAAAAAGGAAAACAATATCGAACATAATTACACAATAATAATAATAATTAATAATAATAGAAAAATGTCGACTATTTTTAGACCACGTACGGTTATGTTTTCGAAACGGACGCGTTACCGGATCACTTCGATAATATTATAATAATATATTATGTTGTCTAATACCCGCGGTCTTCGACAATATTTCAGAAAATGCACGTGTACAAAAAAGCTCTGCAAGCTCTAATCTATCCAATATCATCGACCACGCCGCATAATTTCGTCTCGTGGACTGCGACTTCACCGACGTATTGTTACGAATGTGAAGGGCTGCTGTGGGGCATCGCCCGGCAAGGGGTACGGTGCACCGAATGCGGGGTCAAGTGCCACGAGAAGTGCAAAGAGCTCTTAAACGCCGACTGTTTGCAAAGTGAGTTGTAACTTTAAAAAAAAAAAAAATTTACTGTTATTTAAACTATTACAAACGTGGCGAGCAATAACAATAATTTGGCGCCGTCGAAAATAATATAATAAAATATAATATATTTAACCGACCGACACTAATTATTATTATAGCTGAAACGCGACGTGTCTCGTGAATAGTAATAATATGGCGCGCATTCGTCATGATGTTATATAATATGAGGACCGACAGTAATTATTTTATCCACAAACAAAAGACCCACGAATGTACACTATGAATATATATAAATTATAATTATAAAAAGCTAAATTAAACTAAACAAAAAAAAAAATACAATAACGTACCTACAACCGATGTGTACAAAAGCATCGCGATGATGAATGACATACGTTTTTAAATTAATGTTATTAAAATCAAAAATAATTTAAAATATGCAAACAAACGTATCATATTTTTGATTCCCGCTGCAGCAGAAGAATACCATTTTATCTAATAGCATCACATCAAATAAATATAATATAATATAGGTACTTCATCCCAAGTGGTACGTTTAAAAACGTGAACTTATACGCAGTGAATACTTTTTCGAATGATGTCTAGAATTTTATTCGAATTCGCTTTGCGACTTGCCCATTTCTATACAGCATTTGCCATTAACCCACACTTTTTAGGACCCCCGGGAGGATCTACCTGATCAAACTTTGAATAGAGACAACTTCAAGACCCGTTCTATTTTTTTATTAGTGACATACCAAACGACGTAGAACAATGGTCCAGATGAAAAAATTTCGACCATAAAAAGTGGTCATATTTTTTAAGTTTTTGAAAAATCTTTGTACCGATAAACATATTTGTCCATGCGGTGTAAAATAAAAACGAGCAGATATACATTTAAAAAATATCATTTCATGTTCGTATTTCGTACAACGGAAAACCACTTGAAATTACCTAGGTACAAATATTATTGAGAGCACTAAAACGTATGTACAATTTTTTTTTTTTTTCTGCTACCTGCCTATAAATAATAGGAGCGGCCGAGAAAAGTTCCAAACACGGTGCCGAGGATAAAGCGATATCAATTATACAGGCGATGAAGGACAGGATGTTGCAACGCGAACGAGATCATCCAGAGATTTTCGAACTCATCAGGTTAGTTAACATTTTTAAATCACATACCAAATTTAGTAAATTAACAACAAAACCGTAAGAGCCTTGAGTGCAATTGTTGGTAAACTGCAATTGTAGATATTTCACAGCAGGCTGCATGAGTTTCAGTCAATTTAATGTCAACATTTTCCTTAAACAATCCCGGTAGGAATCACTTATATTAATTTCTAATATTCAACTACCCCGTCAAATATAATTTTAAAGTTTGGTTTATTGTATATTGATATCCATAAAAATTAAAAACATCTCTCAACAGCCCGTAATTTTTTTGATCATAATGTGCCATAGGTATAATATTATCTATTAAAAGACGGGCAAATTGTAAAAACAAAAAGTGGAATATTATCTCGTAATAATTTCAATACCAAAATATACTTTATAACATTTTATGTATTTTTATTTCTTAATCGATTACGTCGATTTTCTAAGATACTATATACATATATGGTATTTTCAACACAAACTTAAACCGCAGTGGAAAATTTTAAAACAGTCAGTATATACTGTTGTATCTCAAGCTATTACTTTTTTTTTTTTTTTCGTCCGAGTATAACGAACACGAATAGTCTTTAAATGAATCGTAACTCGTATAAAAGAAATATATTATTATCTACCAACGACGTCGGGACACTGCACGCACGACGATATCCCCGCAAACGGAAACATATGGCAACCGTTGGAAAAGGATCGGGGTCAAAATGGGACGACACGCGCGACGTAATATAATATAATATATAGAGCTCGTTAAACGGTCGTCTCGAGACAAATGGAACACCGTCCGATTAATTTCAATCTGCTTGTCATCGGACACACTATATTCTATTCTATTGCGAACAGACTGCGGGCTCATAACAGATATTCTACATACGGCCGGAATTGAGTATATACCTAGTCGAAAAGCTGTTGGGTCGGAGTTAGACAATATATGGCCAAAACGATGACGAAGGCGTTGACGAGTGCGGACTGTGCGATTTGTAATGCGGTCACACCGATAAAGAAATAAATCGCCGATATGCCGACAAACGACACCCCGCCGAGTTTATTTGAAGTGTGGATCGACCTCGTTTGTGCGAAAAAAAAGCCGAAACAAAGATCCCGGGTCATTGGGAAAGACTCGTGTACACGACGTCTGGAAGAAGTTTTTATTTAGTTTGACATAATACGAGCAGTGTTGGGTGTGGTGGACGAAAAAAAAAATTGGTTGTTATGTGTTTTTTTTTTTCAATTATACGCAGATCAGTGTTCGGCGTTGAGGAGAAAAGCCATCAGGGTCATATTAAAGCGGTGAAACAATCGGTTTTGGATGGTACTTGCAAGTGGTCAGCAAAAATTGCCATCACAGGTTTGTTTAATAATAAAAAAAAAAAATCCAATTTGACGTTATGAGCAGACGACTTCAAAGAGCTTTGTGTGGCAACCTTCATTGTGCTTGGTGTTGAATTTTATGGAATTGGTGTTTTACTATTTTGATATGTTTAACCCCTCCTCATATGTGTATTTTTTAAGCACGAGATTTTTAATGAAAATTCTTTCAATCAACTATAATTTTGTGTATTTTTTTTTTTAAACTATACTTTTGTGCATGTTTTATTGTTTGTTCACTAATACAAATGTCTGAAATATGTTTACAAACGTTTATATTATTATTCCTCGCTTACATCTATGATGCATTCAAAAATATTAAGAAAGAATTTTCATTTATTTAAATCTAAACATTTTCTATTTTGGTTCCTTTCCTCCGATCAATTTGTGTGTAAATATTTGTTTTTATTGTTTTGGTTTTTGCGTATTTGAAGAACCATGTTTTCTGTGGAACCTGATATGCATATCGATTCCTTGGAGCAAGCGGAAGCTATCGTTCTTGAAGGCACTTCTAAATGGTCGTGCAAAATCGAAATAACAGGTCAGCGGTTAGGCTTATTAGGGTTCACTTACTCACAGCTTAGAAATTGGAATCGAGCAAACATTTGCTAATATTTAAATTTCAAATCAAACAAATCACATAGTTCATCGATATCTAGTTAGCAGAAGTAACTTAAAAGAAGTCTTCCGATAAAAATTAACGCCTATTGCATGCATTTATAAATATTATTGTCGTTATATAGTATGCACGTGCAAAATATTGTACATATAGCTTTAGAATGAACCTTTGCTTTAGACTTATGCAACTTATATTTTTTAAATAACTATTGATTATAACTGTTTCATTTTTACTATAGTAAAATGTGCTCAAGGGCTCATCGCAAAAGACAAAAGTGGTACATCAGATCCATACGTAACTGTTCAAGTGGGTAAAGTTAAAAAAAGAACGCGAACTATGCCTCAAGAGCTCAATCCTGTTTGGAATGAAAAATTTTATTTGTAAGTATTTCTTACTCCCTTATCTGTCTGTCGCTGTATATAATATTATATTATTATATGCACAAATATGAACTTATACATTTTTCAACATTTATAGCGAGTGCCACAATTCTTCGGATCGAATTAAAGTCAGGGTATGGGACGAGGACAACGACCTGAAATCGAGACTCAGGCAAAAATTAACCAGAGAATCAGACGATTTTTTAGGACAAACTATTATCGAGGTATATACATATACATCAAATACATAATATTTGTGCGAGAGTAAAATAGTAAGTATTTAGGTTCGGACGTTGTCGGGCGAAATGGACGTTTGGTACAATCTCGAGAAAAGGACTGATAAATCGGCGGTATCCGGTGCTATTCGATTACATATCAATGTAGAAATCAAAGGAGAGGAAAAAGTCGCTCCTTACCATATCCAATACACGTGTCTCCACGAAAATCTATTTCACTCGCTGTGCGAAAACAACGCTGGAATAGTTCACCTACCTCAAGCTAAGGGAGAAGACGGGTGGAAGTTGTATTTTGAATCTCCCGCGCAAGACATTGTCGACGAGTTCGCCATGAGATACGGCATCGAGTCCATTTACCAAGCAATGACGTGAGTTTATTATGCGCTGTTTTATTTTTAAACTATAATATTAATAGAGTTAATCTCCGATTCTAGACACTTCCATTGTCTTTCGACAAAATATTTATGCCCTGGCGTCCCAGCGGTAATGAGTACTTTGTTAGCGAATATCAATGCCTACTATGCACACACAACATCCAGCTCCGCCGTTAGCGCGAGCGATCGTTTTGCAGCATCGAATTTCGGAGTAACTATGATTGCTGATAAAAATATTACACGACGTCACTTCCAATCATGAAATCATTTAAATCGTCTTTATTCGTTATTTATAGAAAGAAAAATTCGTGAAGCTGCTCGATCAACTACATAATTCGCTCAGAATAGATTTATCAATGTATAGAAATAACTTTCCGGCATCCAGTCAAGAAAAATTAATGGATCTTAAATCGACTGTCGATTTGTTGACCAGTATCACATTTTTCAGAATGAAGGTAATTTTTTTTTTTTTAACATAACCAACAACCGTGGTGTATAGTAGCACGATAATTATTACATGGTTTGTATTTAGGTACAAGAACTTTCAAGTCCACCCAGAGCTAGTACCGTTGTCAAGGACTGCGTCAAAGCATGTCTAAGATCAACTTATCAATTTCTGTTTGCTAATTGTTATGATTTATACGGCAGAGAATATCAGGTATTTATTTGCTTGTCAAATTAAATGTTAAACATTTGTGGATTTGGGTTTTCAGTATAACCATTAAACTCATTTTAAATTTTAAAACGTTAAACCCATATTATTCAAAAATATATAATATTATAAACTTAACTAAATTAACTATTTTTTTTTTTTTTTTTTAAGACTGATCCAAATGAAAAGAGAGATGAAGACACGGGACCAAAGTTAGATGATTTAGGCTTTTGGGATAAGCTTGTAGCACTCGTTGCTTCCGTAATCGAAGAAGATAGAAACAGTTATGCGCCCGTTTTGAGTCAATTCCCCGCAGAACTCAATATAGGACAGGTAAATAAATATCTAATATATTTTTAATAGCATTATTTACATATTATTTACTGTAACACACCTAATGACGTATATTTATAAATAAAAATATTGTTTACAGTTGTCCGCAGCAACAATGTGGAGCTTCTTCGCCGTAGACATGAAGTATGCTCTAGAAGAACATGAAACACACAGACTTTGTAAAACTTCAGCATACATGAACCTACATTTCAAAGTAAAATGGTTGTTTACTAATTATGTAAAAGATGCGCCGCCGTACAAAGACGCAATTCCCGAGTACCCATCTTGGTTTGAACCGTTTGTAATGCAATGGCTAAATGAAAACGACGACGTGTCGTTGGAATATTTGCACGGAGCTTTCAACAGGGACAAAAAAGATGGGGTGAGCAGTCGTCGTCTTCTTAAACTTTGATCAGAAAGTTTTTTAAACTTTATTTTGTAATTATAGTTTCAAAGAAGTTCGGAGCATGCGTTATTTTCCAACTCAGTGGTGGACGTATTCACTCAGCTTACACAATGTTTTGGGGTCATATCGAAATTGGAATGTCCCGACCCCGAGATATCCAATCGATACATGAAAAGACTTGCTAAGACAATTGTCAAAGTGTTATTGGCATACGTAGACATTGTTCAAAAAGAATTTGACGCCAAAGAGCTGGATGAAAGAACTGTAAGTTTAAAATATTTTACTCGTATATACATATATATTATGTAATATGCTATGTACAAAGCATATATTAAATTAATTAATTAAATGTGCAGGCTTGTATATTAATGAATAACATCCAACAACTACGAGTACAACTAACAAAAATGTTTGAATCAATGGGTGGCAAACAACTGGAAGAAGATGCTACAGATATTCTAAACGACTTACAAACGCAATTATTAAAAGCATTAGATGAACTATCTGGGAAATTCGGAAAAAGGTATGTACAATTAATAATGTTTAACTTATTTATAAGCGTATAATCGTACATACATTATTTTATTGATTACCTACACTGAAGTACTAATAATTTCGAGATGTTTAAGTCTTAATATTATTATTATCCACGACGAAAATAAATATACAATAATAATAAAAAATGTAATCAAATTTTTTAGTTTGGAACCTCAAATAAAGAAAAGTGTCAAAGAACTTGGTGAGTTATTGCAAAGTATCAAAGGAGGTAGCCAAAATCCCCAACAAGTGTCTATGATGGAAGTAGATGAAATATTAAGGCCATTGATGGATCTAATGGATGGCTCATTATCGTTATTTGCTCAAACTTGCGAGAAACCCGTACTAAAACGAATTCTTCGTGAACTGTGGAAACTTGTAATAAGAATATTGGAAAGATCAGTAGTATTACCACCGATGATGGATAAAAGTGTAAGAGATATTATTTGAAATAAATAACGCAAAATACTATACAATTGATGAGGTTTGTAATATTGTTTTTATAAACTTATTATTTTTAATTTAGATGATATTGAAAAACCTTAGTGAAAACGCTAGATCGCTAGCAGCTAATGCTAGAATTGAAGACATGTCCAGATTAATTAGAAACCACATGGCTGGAAAGCAAGACGTTAAAAATGCTCTAACAGGAGTGATGGTGATTATACAAATTATATTATTATAACATATTATAATATACACACAATATATAACAACTAGTAATAAAAAACCTATGTAAGCACATAGCATTCGCCCTCAAGGGACAATTTTTTTTTTCACTTCCGCGTTGATTACACTATTAGGTACGATACAACATAACTGATAAATATGGTATTTTAGATATTTATTTTCAAAACCTAATACGATTATGATCACGCGGCGTTTTGTATAGGCAATTAAGCAACACCTATTTCTTGGTTTCATTTTCCGTTATCATTTGTTCATAATAATAATATATAGCTTATATTTATATATTACCTATCAATGTATTTTATGGAAAAAAATTGTGAATGTAAAATTTGAATTTTATTTTCGAAAACAAAAGAATTTAGACATTATATAGTTTAAATGAATAAATAAGTTTAAAGTTTTTTACAATATGTAAATAAAATACTGGAAATCGTGTGCAATAAATAACAAAATAGTGTTTTTTTCTTCAACATCGACTTCTTCTAGACACTTCTCAAACAAGATAAATAAAATATGTTAACTTTTAACTAAAGCAGACTGAGTTAGATATATTAGGAGGGTTAACTTCAATGACAATAAACTGTTTGGTAGTATGTAAAGCACTATAGCAAGAAAATTATTTTATAAATCCAATGGTTTTATGGAAAAAAAATAACTATTATCGACCACTAACCGAACCTATTACCGGACGGTATATAATGTTCAATATTTATCGATCCTGCAAAAAAAAATATCCACTAATTATTTTTTGAACCAAAAATATGTATTTTTTAGGATATGGAAAAGAACTTAAATACTAAGCAATGCAGGGTCTTAGAATCTGCACTGAAAACAATTAAGACTTATTTCCACGCCGGTGGAAATGGACTAAAAAAGAAGTATTTGGATAAAAGCTCAGATCTTTTATCTTTGTGCTACGCTTTGTCGCTTTACACAAGATCTACAGACGAACTCATCAAGACGTTTGTGTTGTCACAATTACATCAAGGTGTGATTTATTTGTAATTGTTAAAATAATGAAAAGGGGGCGAATTTCTTATTTTTGACCAAAGGTGTAATTGTTGGATTTTAATTGTGTTAATAATATATATTTTAATTCTATAAAGTTCCACAAAAAAATGACCCATTACCCCGGCAACCGTCACTGATGAGTGGTACCGAGGTAAAAGATGAAATGGACGAAATGGATTATGACGAAGACGACGAAACCGAAGAGGAAGAAGCATTAGATGAAGCAGAAGAAGATGTAAAATCAATGGGAAGTCGAATGGAAAAACTATTTGAAATTTCAAGAAGACCATTACAAGGTAAAATTGTAATCTCTAAAGTATACATTATTTTTGAAACCCTTTAGAATTACTTATAATCATATAAACAGTTACCTATATAATATAATTCGGTATTATGGCCGTAGAACCATTGTACCATAACCATATCTCATTTATATAAAATTAATGGTGTAGCATTATAGTAGCTATGGGTGCAAAATATGTACCTATTATAGTGTATACCTACTTTAAGTTAATAAGTTCTTATATTTTTTGTACATAATAAACAAAAATACAAGAAAAAAAACGATTCTTTAAACTTTCTTCGCATGACTAGAAGTAGTTTTAAATATTTATGATAATGTTTAAAAGTTATTAACGAAAAATTGTTTTATTTTTTTTTTTGTTTACATATTTATAATTAGAAAATTACGTATATGAAGAACCTTATGGAGAAATTTCCATTAACGTTTACATTGAAACACATCCAACAAATAACGAATTTAAGCTCACTGTAACAGGTATGTATTATATTTAATATTTTTCTTAATTAATATTTCGATTTCTAAATAATGAATCGAAAATTTTCATTTAAAACTGAAAATAATTATGTAGAACTGTAATATGTTTACAATAATACAGCATAACATATAATAGCTTATGATTATGACAACATAACGAAATATTGTGAAAAAATATTCAATTCGTAAACATTCAAAAATAACAAGCAATACTGCAATCGACAAATGGCTTTATTTTTTGTTTCATTTGCAAAATGTTCATTAATAAACCTTTCTCGGCGGCCTGTTTGGTAAATGGCTTTTGTATTGATTCTTTTATTACATATAACTCCACGTATTTACATTGATTCTATACCTTCTATTATATTTACTTAAAAACGTGTTTGTATTGGACATAGGATATTTTTTCTTTTTGTATCGGATGTTCACATGACACACGACCAAAAGAATATAAAATCATAAAAACACGCTGAAACCATAAAACCTATACACTATTCTCGTCACTTTTAGTACTCATACCTCAATAAAAAAATAAAAAACCCCATTGATTTATAATAATGGAACAACGCAATCTAGTTTGGTTGACGAAAATACATAAAATCGTATTCGTTTCACTTTTCACTTGCATCTAATAAAATCTCATTTTATGTCAATATAATATAGTACCAATATTTATTAGAAAATATAAACTGGAACATAATAATATATTATTATGATGTTCGCCACATAAATATATCGAACTTTACCGCCTAATAGTATATAAAAAAAATAGTACTGATTCCATAATAACCCCAAGAGTGAACTTTTTCATCGATTATTCAATTATAATAATAATTAATGATAATACAAATCACAGTAAGTAAACATGCTGAAAACGAGCCAAATTACATCGCGTTAAATATCTATTAATTAGTTTGATGTTAACACACAACGTACAGCTATTATAATAATAATTCGTCTTTATTACGATACAATTTTCCATAGTAAAACCACCACGTTTAACACTTATACTTTTCGGGGTTATGGGTATCATTAACCCTACAGTACTAGTGGTGTACATTATGTCTAATACAAAAGTCGTAATAATGAGAGTTAGGTAGGTGGTACCTCTTATACTCGGGTGTGTATTCATAACAAGATACTTTTCAAAAGTAATTTTCCCTTTAAAACGAATCATCGCACCAAAATATAATGGTATTATTACAACTAGAGGTACTATTAAAATAATATGTATAAATAAACTAATTTAATGGAAATGCTATAAGTCGACTTAACATAATAATATTAACTATACTGGGTGATTCTTTTATCAAACAACACTCATTATTTCAAAAGTGTATATTTCTATGAAAATATTTTTTTACATAGTTTAAAGTCGCTTATAAAACAACGTTTTCGTTAAACAATTTTATTTTCAAATATTTTTCATCCTTATAATTTTTTTTATTTTTTACTTTTTTGTATGATAACATAGGGTTTTAGTTTTATATTCCAGAGCAGGATGTTTTTCTTAGTATTTTGATACGTGAAAATCGAATTTGAGTTGAGTAGTTTATGAGTTACAAATATTCAAAGTTTGATTAGCGGTGAAGTGGACAAACATTTCGCGGAGTAACCGTGAACCACTCCACTCCGCTCGTCTAAACTTTAAATACTCATAACTCATAAACTACTGGGCCCAAATTATAAGCGACTTGAAAGTATGTAAAAAAATGTACACTTTTTGAAATATTGAGTGTTGTTTGATAAAAGAATCACTCAGTATAGATATTGTTATACATTACCGATAGACAGGTCCCCGTGTAGACTCGCGTAGAGAATAATATTATCTAATCAAATTTATCGAGTAGATCGAAATCCCTAAAATGCGTGTTGCATTTTAAATATTTCATCAGTATCCCGCATTACGTCACACAACAATATTTTGCATATCACTATTTTTTCATATCGTAAGCTTTGTATACGATTATATAATATTCACTATGACAAATCTTACCACGACGACGTCTGTGTTACAGTGGTCGCTGCCAACACGCTGGTATGGCCGACGACTGGCATGTTTCGTCCGTTTGTCGAGGTGAACCTCATTGGACCGAGACTAGCGGACAAGAAGAGAAAACAGTCGACGAAGAGCAAATCGGGCAGTTGGAGCCCTAGATACAACGAAGCGTTCGTTTTGTAAGTTTAATAATTATATTATAACGATTTAGTCGACATCGCTTGGTTTTCACGATCGATATTATATTTTTCCGGACAGTTCGATCAGCGCCATCGAAGACTTGGAATGTTACGAATTGCATTTTTGCGTGAAAGACTACTGTTTCGCTCGGGAAGATCGGCTCGTCGGCGTGGCGGTTTTGCAGATGCGACACGTCCCCATAATGGTAATTAATAATAATAATAATAATAAAAAAGGAAAAACTATTTTCTACCGTATCGACTGACCGCCGTCGTTTGTACTCAGGTCCGTACCGGCGAGTGGTTAGGCCTCGGCAGGCGGATACAGATGAACGAGACTGGGTGGACGATTTTGCGGATACTTTCACAGAGGTACAACGACGACGTAGCCAAGGAATTCGTGAAGCTCAAGTCGGAGACCAGACAGGAAGACCAGTCATCCGTGCAGGGGTCGTAAACGCAGACCGACGTGAATATTCATCGCCAACAGTCTTCCAATGAAAACTAAAAAATTAAGACTAGTTAAGATAATATATAGATTGACTTCGATATTATGTTATTGTACAAAAAAAAAAAAAATATGAAAATCGATCAAGTAAGAGTTGTGAAAATAGTAATGACTCAACGAGGGCACAGACACAATGGAAGTTCTCGTCACAATTATTATTGTACCGTATATGCAGTCGGAAAAGTGATAGTTTCGAAGCGAAATATTAACGTTGGTCTTTTTCGTATTTATTCATTTTTCATGTAAAAAAAAAAATAAAAAAAATATTAACGTTCATAGCAATAAATATTCTGAAAGAAAAAAACCACATTAAAAATTGACCAACATTTTGGGTTTTAAACAAATCAACGGGACCATTCTCAAATTAAAAATTAATTATTCAATTTAATACGCTGCAGTGTCGGTGGTAATGATTGTAAAACTTTCTGTGTGGTAGATACCCGGAGTACCGGGGCGTTTGGATGGAATAGGGTGAACACCACTAATTTTAAGGTGGCTTTGAATATTTTAATATTTAAACATATTTGTTGTTCTAAATCCACAGTACAATATTTAGGTAAATTACAATTATTCTACTGTCTAGAGGGGGACACGATAATGATAATAATATGTTATACATGTGCGCCATCCCGCAATACCGAAATCTACCTACCCATAATACTATATTAAATGCGCTCTGTTGTTTTCAACAAACCAATATTTTTGTACAAAAATGATATTCCATGCACCACCAGCGGTAATGTATTGTTTATAATATAATATCCGCTATCTGTAATTCCTAGCACTATAATAGGACGCAACTACAATATTCTGTATATTAACACGATAACCCTATTATACAGGGTGTAACAGAAAGATCTGACAAAAAAAAAAAATTACGCCACTCAAACGTATGACAGAAATATTGTTAATATTATGTGATTAGTAAAATGATTTAAGAAATATGCGCTCACGTCAGCAAATTTCCAAAAATAATATTTTTAAAAAAGTCATTGCGTTTCAAAATAAATCAATCAAAAAATTATATTGGAAAAAAACTTTTGAAGATTTTGAATATAGCAAAATTTAAGATTTCAAATATACCATTTGTCAGATCTCGGTGGGCCACCCTGTATATATTATTATATCGTTGTATCGAGATGGGACGTCATTTTTTCTCCGGAAGTTCCGACACGCGTATTGTTGTTGCTGTTATTGTTGTTTTTGTTGTTGTTGTTGTAGTTGTTGTTGTTGTTGTTGTTGTTTCGGACGGGGGCCTCGACTCCAGGACCTTTGACCAACGGCGGGTTAAGCAAATCGTGTGATCGATATAATATAATATATCCGTACAGCCGATTTCCATCCGGTCGGCGTTATCGTTTTTATCTCTTTATATCGTTATATTACTCTGCAGGTGATCATACCGATAATATGATGTCTATAATATTATTCTATAATAACACTCCGACTCAAGTATATAATATTACGTAATAATGTACATTTCCTTGGACTCGACGACTTGATAATACGAAATATCTGTCATTTTATTGTGAAACATTAAAGCTATATACATGTTTAAACATCCATCGTTATACCTCTATATATACATACATACCTACCTATAATACCTATGTTAAAAAATATGCTTTAAACTATTGCAACTATCTAAAAATAGTCATAAACTACCATACACGTGTTATATATATTATATTATTACACAATAATAATATAATGTATTGACTAATAACGTCTTCCATTACATCATGTATTGTATCATCTTCTAGTGTGCATCCATTTTGTTGATTTCGTGTAGATAGATTCGTTTTATCGTCCTTGTTTTCATTCCATTCGCTAAGTTATTTTCTCGTAATATTTTACATACTTTCTTAGTGTCGTTAAGTAATTTTCATTATAATCGTTTGATATACTATTCGTTCTCGATTGATTTTCTAGGCTATTGAGCGTTTTACAGATATAACATATTTTAAAACTTCCTGACAAACTTGGCGTAAACTATAATAATAATTATGTGTCGGGGGAAAATAATAATAATAGTAATAATAATAATAGGCCTCATTCTTATACCTACTCTTATTCCAAATTTGCATTATTTACTTGGTAATATTCAACATTTTTGGGAAACACCTATTTTTTTATTCAATAGGTTATAATTTATATTATATCCGTCCTAATACCCAATTATATTATTGGTCAAAAGGGTTTCACATGTAATATTGTTTTCACAGCAATAATTAATTCGTATTCGTATTGTAAAAAAATATATTTAACCCAACGCATCGTTGAATATTATTATTTACAAAATTAAAATGTGATAAAACATCGATATATTCAAATTATTTTTTATCAATTGTACTGTAAATTAATGTTAAAAACCAATATTTATTAATATTATAACAATATGTGTATATTATGAATTAACTATTTAAGCTAGCAAAACTATTGTAATAACTACATAATGTGCAGGTGGCCTACGTTGAAAACTTTATACGAGATTTTGTTTCAAAAGTTACCTTCCAAACTCTTATCCAAAACACTCGTTATGTTTATTATGTTAATTTCCCAAACCCAACCAACCGTACCATACATATCGATCGATCGTTTCTTATTTTATGTTGCTATAAATAATATTATTATTGTATTAGTATTGTGCTAATGATATTAATCTATTAATTTATTGCTATAATCATGTTTGTAAGTTCAAGTATAGGGGCCTTTATTTTTTATATAATATATTATAACTTAGACGTTGAATATTTTAGTGGAATCTGTTAAACTTCGGTTTTAGATTGTTATAACAAACATTTACTATATATCGTCATTATGATTAACCAGGGTAAACGTATTAAGCAATGTGTTGTTTTTGTATTAATATTTTATTGTAATTATGCACTTATAATAATTTTTTAACATTTTTTTTTTATATATAATATATATACCAAATTCGGTTTCTATACAAACATTTATAAAAAAAAAAAAAAAAAAGAAAGAAATGAAAAAAAAAAAAAAAACGCAAGACAATATGATAATTATATTGTTTGAACCGAAACTATTTATTGTGTTACTGCCCATAACGTAATTTTTCGGTGTATTTTCAAACGGTGTCTATGAAAAATTATTAACTTGTCTATGCTCCTCTATTATCTTAGTCTTATACTTGATATTATTATTTTTGATTTCATTCAAAACGAGTAAGTTATTAATATTGTTATATTTGATTTGTAAAGATAAATGAAATCAACAATAATACCTAATCATCTATATATTTAAGCTGAATAAAGTGCGCTTTTTGTCTATACTTCCTAATTTAAGTCCTCCTCGTTGTTTTTAATTTATATCGCGGACGTATTGTACACGATATGATATCATACGTCCGCGATTTTTACATAAACGGTACGGCATGGTAACGATAATAATACTGATAACAACAGCGCCCGCCACCACCATACCAGCCGTCACATCGACCATTACATTATAATTACTTACTATTATTATTGTTGTTGTTGTTGTTGTTGTTGTTGTTATTATTGTTATTACACTGTTATTATCATTACTAATGTCTGCCACTCTACCTTATTATTACTACTATATACTATACGAATATATACTATATATATACATATATTTTTGATTTATTGGAGAATTCCTTTTTAAAATTCATATCTCTTTTTAAACATAATAATAACATTATAATATTATACTGTATAACTTGTGCATAATACAATGGAAACTTGACATCTGTACGTTGTATACTTGCATTACTTGTTGAAAATAAACCGAGGTTTTTATTATAATATACATACATAAATCGTTACAATAACAATGATAATATTATAATAACAATGTGATGATGATGATGATGCAATAATGTTATTATAATAACGAGGTGCGGAATATTATAAGCCGAGTTTCCGAGCAGAGATCTCGTAGGACACACTATACAGGGTGTAACAGAAATATATGACATATACATATACTGGAAATGTTCCTAAACAGTTCAAAACAAATCAAAATGTTTTGAAAATTTGATCGTGTATAGAAAATGCAAATATAAACTACCAGTGAAAATTGCATGTATATACGTTCATTTGTTTTAGAGTTTAACCAAAAACAAAAATCGATTTTGTCATATCTTTCTGTTACACCCTGTATAGTGTATACAGGTACCTACATATAGCAGAGGAAACTGAGATTCCGCACTAAAAAGAATTGCGACGCTAAATCTAGATTTAAGTCGCAAACAAGAAGAAAACTGTACACTTTCAGCTCCACGACGTGATTACTGTCAGCTTATAGGTACTACACGTGTATCTACCTAAATATATACAGGGTGTAACACTGTAACAGATAGAACTGACTTTTGGAATAACTTTTGTTCCAATATTTTTTCCTTTTTTTATATATATATATAATTTATAGCCACTTGAGCTGCACATTTATTTCATTATTTAATACTGAAAAAAAAAAGCCAATTTGTGAATCTGATTTTAAGAACGATTTGGATGGTAAAAAAATTTACCTAAGTCAAGTAGTTTATTTTTTAGAATTTTTTGAAATATCAATATTTTTTTGATTAATTTTATTTGGAAAACAATAACTTTTTTAAAAATATTATTTTTGGAAATTTGCCAACATGGGTATATTTTATAAGCTATTTACAAATCATATAATTTTATCAATTTTTGTCATACATTTAAGTAGCATCAATTTTTTTTTGTCAGTTCTTTCCTTTACACTATGTATATACATATAGGTATATCGTATATGTATAAACGTCAGTCGCTAATGTCTATCTGTGACGTGTGCAGGTGCGTATGTATGTGTACCTAGTAAACGTGGAGAAGGTTTTCAAGGAAAGCGTTTTATAATAATTCATTTGGACGGGACAAGCGAACAATACACGTTAAAAGTCGACAGTCGCGTGTCTGTCGGAAAATTAAATCTCTTAACGTGGCGATTTTTTTTTTACTCGGTGCGTCAATCAATTTAAATCGGTTTTGAAAATTTAGATCCGTTAAACCACATTCCTTTAGTTTTGCCTGGCGTTTTGGTCGGACAGCCACTTTTTTTTAATTCGAAAAAATAAGTGTATCTAATTTAATATAATTGTCTGTGCCTGCACTTATTAAAACACCAAAAATTATTTTTCTGGGACTTATTGTAGCAGTAAAAGACGTAGATAAAATATCAATATACCTACTGTATATAAGTATATTTTATCAAAACAACAACTGTACAATAGAATCTTGTTATTAACTGATAGTTAGTAGGACTTACTTGTTGGTTAACACTATCTCCCTGCTTAAAAGTATTGAAAAACTCCTGCAGGTTGCAGTTAACAATTTTTTCAGATTAATTTTCCAGAAATTGACAAATTATTTTTATTAAATTAAAAAAATAAGCGATACAACACTACAGAAGACAGATTATCATGGTCATGTGTTGGTATAGATAAATCGATTTCGGGAAGAACGAGAAGAGACTCTAAAAGGTATAGTAGCAAGGAATTCAGGCATAACCAACGAAATATTTAAAACCGATTGTAGGTATCAAAAGTACGCCTGTCGCCTATAATAATTGTCAACTGACAACAAATTATTGTCGTAGGGTGGTCGGATACACGTCAATTGATCGTAAACAATTTACCGCAAATTATTGATCGCAATTGCAATTTACCGCAATTCAATTGATCGAAAAATAACATTTTCAGTAATATAAAAATATTTTGAATATATATTTAATTTTAATAAATTTTTCACAACTCTGGTTACATGTATGGTTAAAAATATATTTTTCGTCTTAGATTAAAAATGTTTAAAAAATATTGTTCAATATATAAAAATGAGAAAAATTTAACTTTTAAAATTATAATCTGCAATATTTTTTTATATAAATAGATAATATTTGTAGGTACATTTAATTGAATATAAAAAATAAATAAATATAATATTATAATAAATCATCAAGGTAGGTATATAATAATGAAAAACACTAAATATTAAATTTGCAATTGAAAATTGTATGCAATGCCACGAAGATAGTCTTCAATATTTGTATTATTGTTATAATTGGTACAAATTTTTTTATTTTAGCTGCTCTATCTCAGTAAATTTTTTTTTTTTTGGGTGGCTCGTTGCCCCCAACATATTATTCGATTTTGAATCTGTTAATGCTCTCTTCTTTTTTTAATGCATCTATAAATCGCCAGAATGAATTGAGCTTAATAAGTACTCTAAAGCCATATTCTATGTACAGTACTTTCAGCTACACGAAGTTATTAGTATATACCGATTGACGATTGTGTCAGTACTGATATATTTTCATAGTGTTTCATGGTGATCTATATTCTATAGATAGATAGGGAAAAATACGGACTGATAAAATAGGGTACGAGTATAATGTTAGATAAGACTTGATCGTAAACGATCGAATAAAGTTACGAAAAAATAATATTGGCCTTAAAATAACCCTGAAATAACCTATATAGTTTACGGTCAATTGTCGCGCGGTAAATTGTTTACGATAAATTGACGGAGGGTGGTCATCACATAGTCACTTCCGCTTTGGCTGCGGCGCGGCTCAGTCTTTGTCGGCGTTGTTTACTGTCATATCGACGTTGGCGTCTTAGCAAGTCAGCGGCTTCGGCAGCTTCAGATTCTGCTTCCGCTTTAAATGCGGCACGGCGCAGTCTTTGCCGACGTTGTTTAATGTCGTATTGACGATGGCATTGTAGCAAGGCAGCGGCTTCGGCTTCTGTTTGCTCTTTGGCTTCAGCATCTGCTTCCGCTTTAGATGCGGCACGGCGCAGTCTTTGCCGACGTTGTTTAATGTCGTATTGACGATGGCATTGTAGCAAGGCAGCGGCTTCGGCTTCTGTTTGCTCTTTGGCTTCAGCATCTGCTTCCGCTTTGGCTTCAGCGGCTTCGTCTTCTAATTCCGCATTGGCTTCGGCTTCTGCGTCGGCTCTGGCTTCGGATTCTGCGTCGGCTCTGGCTGCGGCTTCTGCGTCAGCTTTGGCTGCGGCGCGGCGTTGTCGCCGTCGACGTTGTTTACTGGCACTTCGACTTCGACGTTGCAGGGTGCTAGACTCAGCTATATGCAAATCTGCTACTTGCTCACACAGCATTTGCTCGGTTTTGATGATGAAAAATTTGCTTTCATTTAAAAGTTCCGGGGTCCATCGGTAGTAAACAAAAAACAACGGGTATGATTCAAAGTCATAATACTTGACGAAAACGTGGCCGTTAGGGCTCACCGTCGTATCTGCGGTGCCGGGCGGTATGCATAGTGTGTTTTCTTTGTTCAACCTTTTGGTCAGATACGTATCATTCATCAGCACAGTGTTTATGATGATGACTCTGGCTCCCACTGCCAATCGCGAGGAGAGACACATAAAAAAAAAATTCCATCAATAACTCGTAAGTTGTTCTTATAATATAATAAAGTAACTACGATCTACGTAATAAAGTACAGGGTGAATATATTAATGGTACAACTTAATTTTTCAAAAAAAGTATACACTACCTACCTATAGACTTAATATTTATATTTTGTTTTTGTTTTTACATAATTTTAATGTTTAAGTCGTTACAAAACAGTGCAATAAAAAAATATTTATTTAGTACTTTTTAAAAGATTTTATTTTTTGAATAACAGTAGGTATACCTACAGCAGCGCAACCCTCATAACAATATTTTTCTGATAATTAAATAAAATGATAAATTTTGAAAAAAAAAGGAAACACATTATAACTTGAGGCTCGAGAGCAGTGTTGTGCACAAATAACTGTAAAATTATCTTTTACATATATCTTGTAAAAATAAAAAATAAATAGTATGTACTGCTGTCAGAAATTCTATACTTTGCCTATCATCCCCCTACCACCGAGTATACTAAGTAATAGAAGTATAGAAGAAGTATAAAAAAATAGTTGACTAGGGGTAGAATAAATGCTTATATATGTGCAATATACGTTCGAATATTTTTACTATATTGATAGGTACATATTAGTAGAATTGTCCTCATTTTCCCGCGCACAGTTACGACTTTTAACAAAGATGATAATAATGATAAAAATTAAAAACTATATTATTCTTATTTCTTATACCTTTATCAGTGGAGTTATTGGCATAATAATTACAGTAGTCCGCGTCGTTACTAAAAGATACCCCAGATCCGAATCTAGAGCGCTGAGTGCGCCTCCAGTCGAGTCCACTTATTAGCGATTCCACAGCGTTTGACTCGGAGGTCACGTGGTATAGCACCTTCTCCTTCACATCATTTCCTCCGTTGGCCAACCGTATTTCCTCCTTATGTAGGAGGTACATTCCATACATCGCTGGGGGGTTGACACGATGTATTTTGTAAATATCGCACTGTAATATTATACAAAGTCTAATATTTTACTCGTAGTTATATTATATTTGTAATTTGTATGTTCAAAGAACCATACCCGCATGCGTTGCTCCGTATAACAAACGTAAAACTTATTCCTCGGTAGTACCAAAGTTGTAAGGGTAAACGGAAAAAAAGTCCCCGGAAAAAGAACCCGTTAATAAAATCCAATAAAAAAAAAATTGTACTTTCATCAATTGTAAAATTTTATTTTTATTGAAAAATTATTCAAGTAATTAGTAATTATTACTTTCACACAAATTGTTCTCATTAAGGTCCAATAGTTCATACAAAATAAAGTTACGATTGTATTCAGTTAAGTTAAAGTATATTTAGATTTCGTGTCTGTGTACACGGTAAGTAGTCGAAATAATGCTTAGATTTTCAACTTCAGTATCTTTTTCGATTGAAAAGTGAATATTGTTGGTGTATTGGGGAGGTAAAATTTAAAATTCATAGTAATTATCAAAAGCGCTAAGAAAAACGCTAAAGAAAAATTAAGGAAAAACGGGAATTTTTACGCAAAATCGATTTTTAACAAAATCAAATTTGGCTTTTGGTGTAACTTTAAATCAAATGACCGTAGATATATGAAATTTTCACTGGTTGTTTATATTTGCATTTTCTATACACGATAAAATTTTCAAAATAATTTTATTTATTTTGAACTGTTTAGGAACATTTTCAGTTTCCAATTTTGTTAGTTTTTTTTATGAATATCAATAAAAATGTATTTATTGAGTAAAAATACTTGAAAATTTAATACAAGACTCCTACTATATTGTTACATTGACATTTGAAAAATATTAAAAAAAATTAATCACAGTTTTTCTTATAAGCATTAAAGTTCAAATCTTGACAGAATATGAAAAAATCACGAAAATTAGCAAATTATTTTGAGTTAAGAATTCGTAACAATTTTTCTTTTTATATCTAAGATTTTAAAATTTAATACAAGATTCTTTATAAGATTATTATTAGCGTTTGAAATTCAAATTTTTACAACATTGGATGTTCACTCGATTTCTCATGTAGTGATTTCCTTATTTTGTTGTTATTCATAAACGAATAACTATAGATACATGAAAATTTCACTGAATGTTTATTTTATCAATTCTTATACTTAATAAAATTTTCAAAATATTTTGACTTGTTTTGAGTTGTTTACCGACAATTTCATTTTTTAATTTTTTAATTTTTTTTTCTATGAATATCGATAAAGTTTTATCTGTTGGGCCAAAAAGTGTAAAAATTTAACACAAAGCACCTGATATATTGTTACAATAACAGTTGAAAAATATTTAAAGTATTAAAAATACATAGGCACAATTTTTTTTAATAAACATTTAAAGATCGAATTTTGACAACATTTATCAAATTTAAAATTGAATAATTATTTTGTAGTTAAAAATTTATAAAATGGTCAACTTTTATATCTAAGGATTGAAAATTTAAAACAAGATTCCAAATAAGTAGTTAATTCTATTACCAAAAAATCTAAAAAATACATAAACACAGTTTATTTTTATAGTCATTTTAAGTTCAAATTTGGACGAAATTACATAATAAAAAACCTAGAATAACTATTTTAGTTATTTTGTTGTGATTGTATAATATTATTCGCGGGTAATTGAAACTTCTTAAGTATACTATTATAATATATCTATGATAGTATCAGGGTTTGTTGTTGATGGATAACGCGTTATAAGTACCTAATAGAAATGGATATTGTGATATGATTAATTTTGAATTTATTATAGGTACCTATTAAAGGTCAATTTTTTTTTGATACCATATATAAGTATATAATGTATCTTATACCTAGGACTGACATACAGTCTCCGCTCAGAATAGTTTTCTTATACAATGATATTATATCAATGAATTCAAATTTTATACTATGCATTATACGGTGACAGTCATGTAACCTACTGTACAGCAGAGCAACCTTTTTTTTTTTTTTTTAGAAGTATTTTGCTGAATCAAAACTGTATTAGGGCTATCAATATTTTCCTCCAGATCTAGATTGTCAGTATTTTCAGTACAACTTTTTTTCCTTGCATCATATTATGTGGCAGAATACAGCTAGTACACATACTACATAGTACATTTGAATAATGAGTTAAGGTGATTTGATACCGTGATTTTCTGTTTTTGTCTAACACACGCACCACTTAGACGTGTTTTTTGCCAAACATAATAAATTGATCCATTGAAGCGAAAAAATTCTGAAAACAGATTTGTATCTGTCTTCAATTCCTAAAAATATCATATTACAAATTGTCGTATTTTAATTTTTGGAGAAGTTAAAATCAAAAAAGTGGGAAAGTCGATTTCAAGTAGACTTGACGACAAATTCAAAACTGTTTTTAGAATTCTTATCACTTCATTAGATCAATTGGTATGTTTGGCAAAGAACCTGTCTAAAATCCTATGTCACGCGTGTGTTAGACAAAAACAGAAAATCACGGTATCCAATCCCCTTAAGAGGACTCCACACCCACATGTGTTGTCTCCGTCTTACAAATGTACAACATAGCAAAAACTGTTTTGCGCGGGACAACTGTTCTCGTATCATATTTGTTGTAGAACTACCAAATTTTCAGAACACGTAAAGATGAACTTTATCTGTGCAACAGCGTTCCCATATTTTAGATAACGTAAATACAATAAAAGTTATTTGCTTCTAAACATTTTGTTTTTTCATTTGATTATAAAAAATGATTGGATGGCGCTATTAAAAAAAAAGAGTACGCTGATGCACAGATAAAGTTCTTCTTTACGTGTTCTGAAAATATGGTAGTTCTCCAACAAATATTATGCGAGAACAGTTGTCCCGCGCATAACAGATTTTGCTATGTTATACATTTGTAAGACGGAGACAACACATAAGGGTGCGGCGTCCTCTTAACATAATAAAAATGTGTTTGACAAAATTATGACAAAATAATATTCTTTCTGTTGTTTACATGTATATTTTAAAAGATTTTAAAAAGTAAAAAAATGTTTAGCTCATTTGTAGGTAATTTAAGGTTACTTGATATAATCAAAAGTACGTCTGTCGCCTATAATAATTGTCAACTGACAACAAATTATTGTCGTAGGGTGGTCATCACATGGTCACTTCCGCTTTGGCTGCGGCGCGGCTCAGTCTTTGTCGGCGTTGTTTACTATCATATCGACGTTGGCGTCTTAGCAAGTCAGCGGCTTCGGCAGCTTCAGATTCTGCTTCCGCTTTAGATGCGGCACGGCGCAGTCTTTGTCGACGTTGTTTAATGTCGTATTGACGATGGCATTTTAGCAAGGCAGCCGCTTCGGCTTCTGTTTGCGCTTCGGCTTCAGCATCTGCTTCCGCTTTGGCTTCGGCGGCTTCAGCTTCTGCTTCCGCTTGGGCTTCGGCGGTTTCGGGTTCTGCTTCCGCTCTGGCTGCGGCGCGGCAATTTCGTTGTTGGCGTTGTCTAATGGCTTTTCGGCGTCGGCGTGGTAACAAGGCAGCGGATACGGCTTCTGCTTTCGCTTTGGCTGCAGCGCGGCGTTGTTGCTGCAGTATACGTTTCTTCTTGGCAATTGGGCGTCGTTTTTGCACGCTGCTAGATTCGGCTATATGCAAATCTGCTACTTGCTCACACAGTATCTGTTCTTCCTGCAGTAACCTTTGGAGGGTGTAGTTGGTTTTGATGATGAAAAATTTGCTTTTATTTAGAATTTCCGGGGTCCAACGGTAGTAAACAAAAAACAACGGGTATGATTCAAAGTCATAATACTTGACGAAAACGTGGCCGTTAGGGCTCACCGTCGTATCTGCGGTGCCGGGCGGTATGAATAGTGTGTTTTCTTTGTTCAAACTTTTGGTCCGATACGTATCATTCATCAGCACAGTGCTTACGATGATCACTCTCATTCCCACTGTCAATAACAAGAAAAGACAAAGAAAAGAAACACTTCCATTATTAACTCGTAAGTTGTTGTTATAATATAATATAAGTACCTACGACCTACGTAATAAAGTACAGGGTGAATATATTAATGGTACAACTTAATTTTTTGAAAAAAGTATTCACTACCTATATACTTAATATTTATATTTTGTTTTTGTTTTTACATAATTTTAATGTTTAAGTCGTTACAAAACAGTGCATTCAAAAATATATTTATTTGGTACTTTTTAAAAGATTTTATAATTTTTTGAATAACAGTAGGTATACCTATATTTTAGATTCTGATTTCTGAACAAAGCTATGAACTTTCATTATTTTTTGATTTTATAAAATTTTGAAAAAGTAGTAAACACATTATAACTTGAGGCTCGAGAGCAGTGTTGTGCACAGATAACTGTAAAACTATCTAGATAAAAGATAAGAAAACCTACTTTTTATTTTTTTTTTTATCTAAAACAGATAATCATGAGTGCTCGCCAGTTATTTTAGTTAATATTAATTGTTTTATCCATAGACCATAGAAAAAAATAGTATGCGCTGTTATCAGAAATGCATTACTTTTCCGACCACCCCCTTACCAAAATTTTAAGAAATAGAAGTATAGAACAATCCTAGTACCTAAATAATGTGGACGGCGACAAAAATAGTTGACTAGGGGTGGAATTAAAGCGTATGTGCAACATACGTTAGAATATGTGGACGATATTGATACATTTCAATGAGATTCTGTTCATTTTCCCGAGCACAGTTATGACTTTTAACTAAGATGATAATAATGATAAACACTATATTATTCTTATTTCTTATACCTTTATTAGTGGATTTATTGGCATAATAATTGCAGTAGTCCGCGTCGTTACTAAAAGATACCCCAGATCCGAATCTAGAGCGCTGAGTGCGCCTCCAGTCGAGTCCACTTATTAGCGATTCCACAGCGTTTGACTCGGAGGTCACGTGGTATAGCACCTTCTCCTTCACATCATTTCCTCCGTTGGCCAATCGTATTTCCTCCTTATGTAGGAGGTACATTCCATACATCGCTGGGGCGTTGACACGATGTATTTTAAAAATATCGCACTGTAATATTATACGAAATATTGTACTCCTATAGTTATAATACATTTTTATGTTAAGAGAACTCTATACCCCCATGCGTGACTCCGTCTCACAAACGTATAACTTATTCCTCAGTAGTACATATTATAATAGACAGTGGTAACAGGTAAGTATCCCCGCCTGTCACACGGGAGACCGCCAGACCGGGGTTTTATTCCCCGCCGGGGAGCCATTTTACGCGGTCACAAGTGCTGTGGCTGGTCTTGGGAGAGATGATATTGAGAATTAAATGAAAAAATACGCACGGTACGGGATTTAAAGCAGTGACTCAAGCGCCGGACGCGAATCAGACATCAGTGAGACAAAGCGATTTCATCATATTATGATTTTATCAAATTTTTCGGAAATTTTACTTGCGTCCTGATAATACACCGTTACTTGGCTACGTTTGTGCAAATACAAAAATATTTAATAAAACATAACAATATTGTTTTTTAATGTAAATTGTAAAAACGACAATACGACATAAAAATTCATATTTTGGGTAGGTGGGTTATTAATATTTTTATTGCCTCAAGTTTAAAAATTGTTCAGGCTGGTCTGGAGTATATAATATACTGACATTAGGAATATACTGTATATTCTTAAAGAGAGCCTACGGTGAGCCAGCAGTACACGTCCCTAATCTCAGGAGGTTCACAGCCGAGAAGACATGCTGAGGACTCTCGGACCGCGCATCAAACCGTTGATATGTACTGTAATGCGCATGAAATCATTTGGTTAATTTTTTTATTTTATATGATGCACTCAATTCTTATGATGATTGTGAAAGTAAATAGTAGCTTTCAGTCAAAAATTATTAATCTTTTAACAGCTGTATCCTTAGTGAAACCATACTAAAAGAAAACATTCAAAGGTTCAGATCAGAAGATGCATTATTTATTATTTAATAATATATATTAAGAAACAGTTCAACTTTACTCATAAAATAATATAATAATTCCTGAGGTGAGAAAACAAAAACTATCATGTGCTTTAAGATGATCTAAATTCTAAATAAAGATAAATTGTTATTATGTAGCATTAGATGACATGATAAATGGACTAAATAATCGATTTTTCAGGAAACATTAGGTTATCATTATTTCAGCAGTAGGTAATACTCTTCGACCGATTCCTACAGATAATATTATGCAATTACTACAAGAAAAACTTAAAGTAAATTCTGATTTCTAATTATTTTAAAACAGAAATCAAATTACTCAAAGGACTTCCAGATACCCCTGAAAAAGCTTCTTCTGAATTTATAGAAAATTGGATAGAATGGTTACTTAAGTTAGATAGACTATATATATTTACTTATTTGTTTGATATTTAAAAAAAAATGTAGTTACTCAAGTGACTAGCGGTTCTAGTGAGAGGTTATTCTCAAAACTTTCTTTAGTGAAGTCAAAATTATGGAATACAATGAGTTGTCAATGAAACAATATAGACTTGATTCCTTACTAGTTACTGTTATTATTTGTAGAGCAAATTATGCCATTGAAGAATTTAAAGTATTAGTTTCAGGGGAAAAACATTTATAGCATTGTAATTGAAATTGACTTATGTCAAATAGGACTTAAGTCCTATGACTAATTTTTTTATTATTAATTTCTATCATACAATTATTTTTAATACCATTAAAATATGTAATATTATTATTTTTATTTTTATAATACATTTTAGAAAAAAATATTCTTATGAATATAATTTGTTTTAATCTTACCATAATATGTATTGTTTAAATTAAATTGTATCAATCAAATACATGTTCAATACTAGAGAAAAAGTGCTATTGTTATAATATGTGAATACTCTTTTCTTAAACCTTAAACACATATAAATGAATAATTTTCAGCAACACCTACCACTAAGTCCTGTGCACGCCTATGTTCAGCCATTGAACAAATCTACATGACTCTACAAGGATAATTTAGACTTTCAAAAAACCCTAAAATACAGTGTAAGCTTAAATTATCACCTGATACCAGTGAAACTTCTATATAACAAACTTTCATGTAGAAAAATGTTTGGTTTAACAAAATATTAAGGAGAACCAAACCAAATTGGAATACAATTTATATAATTCTCTTCTTCTTCTTCTTTTGGCCATTCTACTCTCTAAGAGTTTTAGCTGTCACTACAATATCCCGCCACTTTTCTTTGTCTTGAGCAACTTCATGCCCATCTTCTATGCCCATTACCTTTAGGTCTTCTGCCACTCCATCAATCCACCTCTTCCTTGGTCGTTTTCCTGTAGGTTTCCACTCGAGAGCAACCCGTACAAGGTATTTTTCTTCTCTTCTCAGGATATGTCCTAGCCATTGGATCCTTTGATCTTTGATGAAGCTACTGGAGCCAAATTCATCATTTCCTGCAGTTCTCTATTGAATCTTCTTCGCCAACACAGGGCTGCAAATTTTCGCCATATCTTGTTCTCAAAAGTTCTTAATCTTCTTTCCGTTGTCACCGTTGTAGTCCAGGCTTCACATCCGTAGGTCAATGTGGGTCTTATAATTGACACATACAATCTCGTTTTGGATCTTCTCAAGAGCGTTTTTGAGTCAAGAAATTTCAGAAGTGCGTAGAAGGTTTTTTCCGCTTTTATTAAACGAATATTTATTTCTTTATACCAATCGTTCTTTATGCTCAGAGTTGCTCCTAGATATTTGAATTCCTCTACTTTTTTCAAACGTTTTTTTTTTAAATATAGTTCTCTATAGTACATTTTTTTTTGCCCATAGTAATATAGTATTTACTATTTTGTAATATGAAGGTTTGCTGTATTAGAGCTAATGATAAATATATTTAAATATTTTGATTGCTAACAACCAGTGTTGGGCATTATCTAGATACATTTTTTGTATATTTTATCTCATCTAGATATTTTTTAAATAATTTATCTATTATCTTATCTAGATAATAAAAAACGGTCACTTTTTTAAATTATCTAGATAATTATTTACTCTATTGACTATTTTTTTTTATACAATATTTATTCACACAATTTCACTGCATTGTAATAATATGACCTGTGGATTCACAAAAAGTAATTTGGCACTGTCATTATAACAACTAGTTGTTATCTATCACAGTGGGTATAACAAAATACCACAGAATATAAAAAAATACCGCAATATTACAATACCAAAATTTCCCACAATATTACCATTTTCTGTAAAACAACTGTCAATTGATAGTATTAGGATACGCTGACCATGATTGTATGTTATTTATCTTATTATATCAGCTGACTTATATAGTTTATGCATAGTGCAAGCAGTCAAATACTCACACCTCAAAGGAATCGTTTAAAACAGGGATGGCCAACCCAAATGATCTTGTGGGGCACTTTGTAAATACATAATAATCCTGCGGGCCACATATAGGATTGAAAAAAAAAAAAAGGTCATCAGCCAGTAAAAAATATTAATATAATCAAATATTTTATTATTCAAAATTAGGCCACATATAAAATTATAAAAGTATTTTGCCCCAATACAAAAGAAATGGAGTAAACATTATTAACAACATTAATTATTATTATAAATTAAAAATATTTTTATTTTTTTTTTTTTGTAAATATTTGATAAATGTCGCAGGCCGCGGGTTGGCCATCCCTGGTCTAAAAAACAACACTTTTGAAAAATTACTATGCCTAACTAAATCTATGGTCAACTAAAGAATAAACAATACTTATAATGTATTAATGACCACATTAATTGATTTATATAATTATATAACTTATATAATCAAGGGCGTCCTCAAGGGGAGCAAGTAGGGACAGTTTCCCGGCCCTGGGTTTTTTCTGGGTTCATTATCGTAATGATTATTGATGATTTTAATGTTCTAAAAAAACTTAAAAATGCCCCAACAATTCTAAATAGTGCACTAAATTATTTTTATTTTTAATATTAAATATATAAATTCTAAAATAAATTGGGTATAAAAGATAATATACATTTTAAACTTTTAAATGATTGTATAAAAGTTTTACAGACAGAAATTATCATTTGGACTAATTATTTAATCTGAAAATTAACTATTTTTTCTCTACCTATAGGTAGAGGTTAATATCCTTTTAGTCCAAAAATTTTACTTTTAACTATTTACCCACTTAGACAGTAGGCCCATACAGAGGGAAAAACATGTATCCTATAGAAAAATTTGTAGGCTTTGATTATAACATATATACGCTGAATTTCTATACAGATTTCTAAAGGAAATTATTATTTATTTGTAGTTTATGATGTCTAGGGGTATAATAAACATTTATTTGGTAACTCAATTTTTCTAGATTTTACTCTAGATTTTATTATATTTTATTTCTAGAATTTATTTAATAATAACATCTCCTCCTTGGAGTGAATCGTTGGTTCTATAATAAACTACAATAGTTTTTACAATAGTGGTTTAATTAATGTACCTAAGCTGTAAAAGTATATTAAACTTAACATTGATGGAATCACCAGTTTTCATCGTACCTCAGTTTCAAAGGAGAGGTATATCATTTAAAAATATTGTCTTATTATTTATAATACTAGGACATTTTTTTTAGTATACCAGACTCATTTTACCATTTTTACAATAGTTCTACTGCTTTGTCATACACAAATGTTTCAAAGTTGTCAGTAAACAGTTTCAATGTTTATAGTTAATCATTAATTGAAATATCAATAATAGATGTATCAGGCATATGTTAGATGTTAGATAATATGCAGAAATGTAATACATGGTTTAACTGTGGTGTTTAACCTTTTGGCATTATTTTCTTTCTGGCTATAATACAGACCTGACAAATTAAATAATTCTAGTTCTAATCAAATATAAAATTTTTACTACATTGAATCTTGTGCTGTAAGTATAATATTATACTTTTTATTTTTATTTTTTTAATATTAATTTTGATTTCAATTTTTTTTTTGAAAAATTCAAAATAGACAAATTTTAAACTAGGATTTAAAAAACTTTTAATTCTAAAAAAGTGTATCTAAGTCTCAAGTGAATTATTTTTATGGTTTATAAAATGACAAAAGTTTTTAATGACATTTGTAATAAAATTTTAAAAAAATACTTAAATTTTAACAAGAAAAAAATTTTCATAAAATCTTTTTAGAAGTTTATACTTTTTGAATTTAAATTGCTTTTTTACAACTGGATCAACTTTACTACTTGACTGCTATGTGACTACCGGCGGTTATCTGTAATTTTCAAATTGTATACCTTTACAGCTCCCATAGTTGATTATTATTTATTACTACATGACCGACCTCTGGCAATACTATGCCAAATTTATATTTTAAACTAAAGTTTTTCAGAGGTTGGAAAAAATATGTTTTCAATTACATTTTATTATTGTCTGTTTATCATAGAAAAATATAATTAAAAATAAATTAAAATAAATTTGTTTGATCCAGATTTAAATAGGTAATGTGTAAAACAAACAATATGAATTACAAATTATAATTTATTAATTTAATATGCTGATTCTTTAATATAAAACTGGGATCTAAGCTAAGTTAAGATCATTATCATTATGTGATACATACACATTATATGTATGCTTTTATATAGGTAACTAAATGCTAATTTGTTATTGTTTAAAAGCTAGGTTTCTTAAAAAAACTTTTAATTGGTTTATTAATTCATTTTTTCTGATTATAGCCTTAATAATAATTAAAAACATATTGATTTTTTATTTTTGGTTTATAATATAAATAGGTAATACAAATGTTAAATACTATAGTAATACCTACACTTATATCTATTAAGTGTTAAAAGATTTATTGTGTATAGTTGTAATACATACACATATAGCGGCTATATATGTTATAGCAAAATAGGTACTACATAATTAATAACTAATAACTATACATACCAATTTAATAAATATATTACATGAATAATTACGATATTATACATTTATGATGAACTTATTATAAGTAACTGTCTCTATATATACCTGCCATGTGCTATATTTATATATTGATGTCTCATAAACATTGGAAAATCCAATAAAAAAATTATAAATTATGCCACCATATAGCAGGGTTTTTTTTTAGTGGGCAGTGAGACACATATTGTGCAGTGAAAATTTTTATTTTGTGCAGAGAAAAAAAAGAATTTCAGGATTATATATTTTATTGTATATTATAAAACAATAATTGAGTAAACTTCAAACTGATATTAAATTACAACAATTAAATATAGGTAATTCCTAATTATTTATTCAAGTATTGAAAATAACCAAATCTGATTTTTTTTTTTTTCAATTCTATAGTTTTTTTATTCCCTTCTGTATAGAATACCTATGTCCCTTTTTATATTTATACTGACATTAAGTTGTAGTTTTATGGACCTAGATAATCTATGAATTTTTGTCCAGCTTTTCTAGAATACTCCATTCTGACATCAAATGCCCTATTTTCTGTTTTAATTATTAAATTTTTAAGAAAGGATTCAAAACTTTTAATTATACTACTTACAATAGTTATTTTTTTATATATAGACTCAAATAGTAACACATTGACTTTTATTTAATATTTGATGTATAAGTGTTATAAAAAAATTAGATACCTAATCAATTGATTGTTTTTATTTTTATAAACAATTATTATTACAAATAACCTATTTCAAGTAAATATTACTTAGTAAGTATGATTACCTACTTACATTTACAAACAAAATTTTAAAATTATTATTTACAAATTTAGAATAAAAATAGTGCATAAATATAAAATGATTTATTTGGTATATCATGAGAGAGTCAGGATTTATAATATGTTTTTACATATCGTTTCTGAGTACCTATATGCAGTCTTATAAAAGTAAAAAATGTAGATAGTACAGTATACAGTAGTCAGTAGACAGTAGGTTAAAAGGTACTAGGTAGTATAGCCGACACAGGGGCGGCTCTAGAGACATGATTAGTGGGTGACCAAGTCATAATTTTCAGAAAATTTTGATTATTTTTTTTTTTGAATTTTCTTTTTAACAGTATAAAATTGTTTAGAAATACAGCCCACCTTGAGCCACTCCTGACAGTCCGTAGGGTTTGGTCTGCGTGGAAAAATTCCCTACTATAACCCAAGAGTGGGAATAAGTTGGTACAGTCAGAAAAAATCATTAAAAAAAACCATATATACCACTATACCTATATGGTCATCTGTGAATCGTTGTAGTATAAAATGGTACTCACTTGAGGAAAAGTCTTGTGAATTAAGCCTTTTACTCGTTCAAACCCTTTAGTGTTCACGTCGTCTAGAAGTGGACTGACTGCGTCATCATAGTGACGGAACGGCGAGTTACGGTAGTGATGTTTTAAAAGTACAGCAGCATGGTCGGTAAACTTTGACGTACTGGTGGTACTACCTTTTGAGGACGTCATCTTCGTTCTAATCACTGCAGATCGCAGATGAATAGACACGTCTCCACTTTTACATACGGCGGCGAGCTTTAAAGAGAAAACATACAAATTATTGATAGAAAAACACATCACCACTGAATTTCCGATTCGTGCATTTAAAGGCACCACAGAAAATATACACTTGGTGAAGAAGTAAGAAGCTGTGGAATGGATGAAAAACCGGGATTTGGAGCTTCAACATGACACCTATATTGACCGTATACCGGGAAAAGGATTATTGAATAATAGAAGAAATTCTGCTCTATTTTATATAAAATATAATGTATTTGTGTTTATTTATGTGTTTGTTTATTTTTGAGTTTTATCACTGATGACCATTTTGAGATTTTATACATGTTATATGTTTTTATATTTTAAGTGTTTCTGGTGCTGCTCACGGGCGCCTTACAAAATAAATAAATAATTGATTAATAAAAAAACCAATGTATACTGTATAGTTAAATACCTACATCAACCAATATTTAGGGTGTGTTTGAACTTGACAATTTCACACAATCACACTTGAACAAAATAGGTAGGTACATAAATACTAAATCTGTAGAATGATGGCAGAAGCTGATATTATGTACATTTTGTTAATTTTTGAATTATCATTTAAATAGTTTAGAAATCGTATATTTCAAGAGGTGGAAAAATATGATATGTCTCTATTAAGTATATGGCGCCATTTATATGCAAAGACCAAAACTAATACGTCATTATTATTGAGAATATAATATGTACCTAGTGGCAAAACTAAGTTTGTAAAATATACATGTCATCTTCTGCCATCTTTCCACAGAAATATCAATACCTATCTCCCGGATTGTACTTCTTGTATATTATTTATAACCGTTCGCTTACCTGACAGACGACCTGACCGACTGACTCTTTTCACGCACAGCGCACCGACTAGGACTTCGGTCCCCGGAGCTCGTACAATGCGAATTTGCGATCTGAACTGGATGATGGTTGATGGATTTTGTATTTTATTTGGCCGTCACAGAGACAGAAGTTATATTATTATAGTGTGTAGTGTTAGAACATTGTAGGCTTGTGTAATAACCAAGTAATAGCTACTGCGTTTCCGTATCAAACAACAAAAATGAAAAAACTACAGCTGCTGCGTGCTCTTGCACTCTGCACTCCTAGTGTCCTACTCCTGCCGTTCTGCGCACGTCGGAGGTAAAAGCTGTCCGTTACACGAGCTCTTATTATTCCGACCATAAAACATACAATTATACAAACGATGCAAACCTAACCGTGTTACCAAACGATACCGCAAAGTTGAATGTATTATCACAGGTATACTTCTATGGTTCTATGCTAACCAAGTACTATAAGATAGAAGAAATATATATTAAGAAGACTTATAATATCTTAGTGACTTCGGGGAGTCAAGAGTCAACAGATGAAGGCGCGTTTACACGGTTCACTCTTGGTGATCATTTTGGATGAATCATCCACAGTGAATGAATAAGAACAATGTAATCATCCAGAGTGAAGGAAAGTTGGACATGACCCAACTTTGTTCATCGTTCAATGAGGATGATCATTTTATATTGTTCTTATTATTTATTCACTGTGGATGATTCATCCAAAATGATCACCAAGAGTGAACCGTGTAAACGCGCCTTTACAGTTAAAGTTTCCCAATTGTTTCAAAAGCGTCGTGAAAAATAAACAATAATGGTGGGCAAGTGGGTGTCACTCTGCTGTACAGTAGGTTACAAGTGGTTCACTGTAATGGATGGTGTTAAATTTGAATTCAATAATATATCTAATATCATTGTACAAGAAAAACGATTCTGAGCGAAAACGGTCCGACAGCCTATATGATGACATTTACTTATTATACCTACGAATATTTGATGATATTATTGTGAATAAACTAATAAAGTATATAACCTATCTACGTTGACCCATGTTTTAAATTTTCAATCCTTAGATATAAAAGTGTTTTATACATTTTTAACTACAAAATAATTATTAAATTTTAAATTTGATCACATTATCGTGTCTTTACTCCTTTTATCAAAATTCGAACTTTAAATGCTTAAGTGATTAAATGTTGAGTTTTCTATTGCCATTTGCCGATATAAAATTTTTCGTCTGGTCAAAAAACTTAAAAATGTAATAGGTACAACAACGTTCCTTATCATATTTTGTTGTTACCTAATACCTCATACTTGTTAGTAGAATTAAAATCAAAATAGTTGATCGTGAAACCACAATACATTTTTATGAGTCCCTAAAATTAAAATGTTGTCAAAATTCATCAAAATCGTGAAAAGTTGCAAATTATTTCGAGTTAGAAATTCATACAATTGTTCTATTTATATCAATCCTTTGAAAACTGAATACAATATTACCCTTACGTAATACAATTCACTCACATAATATCGTTGTGTAAGAAAAACATTTCTGAGCGAAGACGGTCGGTCGACAGTCAGCCTATGATATTATAACTAGATACATTTTGTCAAAATTCTAACTTAAATTAGGGCTCCAAAGGTACTTGGTAGGTACGCCGCCATTTTGCGACTAATGGTGTTATGTGAATATGAATTTCCCCCCCTTTCCTTTATCATTAACAAATGAGTCGCAAAATGGTGGCACAGCAATACAGCATACCCATTATATATGTCAATATCTTAGTCCGTGATATATGTAGACTGTAGAGCCTTAATTAAATTGGGTTGCTACTACTGCCACTAACGTCTATTGTTACGATATGATAATACACCGATTATTTAAACTATTATTGCTTCGATATAATTATGATACGATATCAGTTTGTTTTCAAATAATTTAACTCCGATATTTAAAAAAAAAAAACTTACTATGGAAATATTAACACGACAGACAATTACTCCGATAGTAATCATTTTTTCAAAGATATCAATATTATCAAAGAGAATAAAAAACAAAGATCGAAAGAAATTTCGATTAACTGATTTAAATATCTATGTATTTATTTATTTTTTCCATTTATATCTGTCCTAAAAAGCTTAATTACATGTCAAATATTATAGCCCAGGGGTGGACTGTGCTACTGTGCAATTGCACACTGGGCCATATTATGTCCCCCGGGCTGGTAAAAAATAATCCACCTAGTATAATATTATTATTGTTAACAATTTTTTCAGGACATCTTTTATTTAGAACACCTTATTTTAGTAAATGGTAGTAGACCAACATGATCCACTCCGCTCTACCAAACTTGAAATACTTATAAGTTATAACTATAGGCCCAACATTTTAATGCAAAATGCATTATTTTTTATAAAGTTCCCAGCAATGCTTTTCAAGTACAAAATCCGTTTCATAAATCAAAGAACTGAAAACTTAAACTATTATTTTTCATTTTTATCAGTTTTGGCGTTTTTTAAGCAATCATTTTTAGGTACCTAATTTTGTTAATTTTTTTTTTTAGTTCACATTTATACGTGTTATACATTATTGAACTAAAATTAATTGTCACATAATTTAAAATATTTTGTTCCGAGCTCTCCGACCATTCATAATGTGTCAATCATACATACGATTTATGATTTCAATTTTCAATACATCGGTAACGTCTTTATTTATCTACAGTTTAAGTTTAACGGCTGTTATATGTATTCCGGACCAGTAAGTAGGTACCTACCTAACAAGTAATTGGTCAGATGATGTTACCTACATCATAATCGGGTTTATTTAAATTAGTTCGAATTTTTGTTTGCTTAAAAATATTTAAAACAATTTTTTGGTGATTTTTTAAGGACATTATAATTTGGGTTAAAATGCATTTTTTAGGGCTTAAACCCATAAACTACTCTTCCAAAATTTGATTTTAATATACCAAAGTACTTAAAAAAATAAACTGCGTTAGAGTATCAAAAAATTTGTTTCAACCAAAAAATATGGCTGTAGCCAATGAATGACTCAATACAATCTTCGGTTGCTTCAAGTATTATCTAAATTCTAAATAAAATATAAATAGTTGTACCTACTTAAATAAGTTTATTATGAGTTACATACTCAAACAATTAATAATTCCTTATATTATTGTGTACCTGAGTAAAAATGATCAATCTATTACATCTACATTTTATCTATTATTTAAGATTTTAAGTACAATAAAAGTAGCAAACAAATTAATATTACCTACGCCTCTAATAAATTTTAATTTTAAAAACATTTATCGTCTGTTGATCATGGTTTATGTTGTAACAGTATAGCCAGTATAGGGCTATTAATAGTGGGCCAACTGGGTCCCAGTCAGTCCCTGATATCTATAGCCATTTGGCCACATAGGTAAAAAAATAAATACATTCAAATATTAAATAATAATAATTATTATATTATACTAGCATTTATATGTAAGAATAGAGATATTCAAAATCATAAATTATTTCTTTCAAATAATATAGCAGTAAATTAATGCAATATAATTATTTTTTATTTATTAATAAAAATATATTATTTTTAATAAATTAAATATGTATTAGTAATAAAATATTTAATTTTTATTTAAATTATGAGACGAGATAAAAATAATAATGTACATCGTATATTGTATAGAATAATATTATTATAAGTAAAATTATTTTCAATTTATTTATTAACTGTTTCAATGTTCAAACACAATTAAAAATGTTCATTTGTTTACTCTATGTTCTACCACCGTGTGGCCTTTTGAGTACCAACATGTAGTCTTCTGCGTAGGTACCACTATAGTGTGTTGCTGCCGTGTCGTGTCCCTTGTCCAGGGGGGTCAGCTTAGGGGTTGTAAACCTCTCCCCCAAAAAATCTACCGCCACTGGTTATGTGCGTACCATATAGTTTGAGAACCGCTGCACTAGCTAGTTATACTAATGAAGACTAAATTATGATTCATCTACACTACCTACCTTTTACAACATTTTGATTCATTTATTGGATTATTGTTCATAAATTGTATGAATATAATATTATATTATTATGTCACAGGAAGCTTAAATCAAATCTGAATTGAAGACATCAATAAACGACGAGCTAAATCTCAAAAAAAGTTATGGACAATTTCTACGAGCCAGATGTAAAATGTGTAGTACCTACAGTACCTACCTAACTATTTCCATTCAATCAACCACAAAATAACAAAAGATAAAACAAAATTTTTTTATATAATATAAGTTACAACATGTTTTTTTATAATTTTATATTTTATACAATTAAGGAGTTCTATTAAATAAATATATTATAATGATTTATTGTTTATTTATTGATTTATTGTTTATTTAATGATGTATTGCATATATGTTTATTTAATTAAAAAATACAGTATTTATTTATTGACTATAGTTACATAAAGTTGTATACATAACTCAAATGGCCCAACTTAGGCATCCTACCTAACACTACCTATGTCAATATATGGACCACCTTTATGCTTTATAGATATCTAAGTTACTAAATATTTAATACCTATACCTACTACCTAGTGATATATAAATCAGTATAAGCTGATACTTTACAAAATTAACAAATTTATATCATGTATAATATAATATATTATGTAGGTATAGATAATAATAACTATCAAGGTACCTATATATATTTTAATTTAAACCATAAAACTGACCTGTAGTCAATACATTTTTGACTAAATTACTAAATAATAATACTAATATGGTTGATAGGTATGCCTTGAATAAAATTAAGAGTTTGATAATAGATCAATTCATTCTAATATAAAAACTGAAAATACTACCCTATGACCTATCAGCAATGTCCCTATTGAAAATAGCGAAGGAAAATTTGCTATGTCGTACGTGTGATGGAGACAACACATGCGGGTGTGACGTCCTCTTACAGTCTTACTCAACTGTCCTAGGAAAAAACCATTGTACATGTATATGTAATAAAAAGGATTCTATAACTATCCATAATATATTCTCTACTTATATACACTACACTACTATTAAAGCTCAAAGTTATGACTCATCACTCATCAGCACCCTGCTCAACAAGCAAAGATTGAAATTGCAAAAACCTTTAAAACAATATATTAAAGAGACTGCGGAAGTGTTCTGGAGCTAATCCGTCACTGGTTTATCCAGTATGCTGAAGCGGTGTATTATTAAGATTACTACGATATAGGTACCTAGCAAGGGGTAACTGGATAAAAAAGCCACCGATAAAAAAACCATGGACAAAAGAGCCATGGATAAAAAATTCATTGATAAAAAAGCTATGGGATAAAAAATCCACAGATAAAAAAGACATTGATAAAAAAGACGAATTTTAAATCAAGTATCATATGAATTTTCAACTACAAAATTACTTGTACATTTTATAATAAATAATAATATAATTATGTTAAAATTGAATACAATAATTAATATAATTTATAAAAGTTAAAATTTACAATTTAAAAATATTATATAAAATAATAAATAATTAAAATAATCGTATTGTGTAAGAAATAGCTGTTAAATATTCGTTTATTGTCCGCTGTGTTAAGCCATCACTACATATTTTATACGGATATGCGTCAATTGTTCGCCGAAAATAGTTCGCGCGACAATTGCTCGCGCGTCTAATGTTCGCCTGGAAATTGTTCGAATACGAAAATTGTCCGTGCATGTATTGTTCGTAAAAAAAAAAAATAATAAGACTTGATTATCACGTTATATATTTTGTAATCTATACGGCAGTATAAATAACATACTATTTGATTTAGTGTGAAATGTGTGAAGTTTTAAAACCATATCGATAACGTATCTCGTTATCGAACATTATATAATGGGTACAAAAATCCCAATGTGTTCTTGAATAGTAGTTATCTACTAATAACAATACTAATACTAACACATACCTGTCACAAAAATCAAACAACAGTACAACCTGTAATTTTGACCATCATTTATTTTACCGCAATAAGTATTTAATTACTATGGTTTTAAAATACGTAAAAAGTGATCGTGGTACAGATATACTCGTACATAAAAGTTACATGTTCTACCGCGAAAAACAAACGGAAAAAAAAACTTTTTGGAAATGTTCTTTGTATAAAAAATATAAGTGTGGTGGTCGTGTTCATGTGGAAAATGACGAAGTTGTCAAAAGTTATGAACATAATCATGTACCAGATAATGCTCAAGTGGAGACAAAGGAATTAATATATAACATGAAACAAGATGCACAAACCTCCGCTGCTACAAGTCATGGAGTCATAGGAAATTTAGCAAGTCAGGTAAATTGAATTATCTAAATATTTTGAATTTTAAATTAAAATTATAAAAAAGTGCTCGAAACTTGCGTAAAGAATTTGAATTTTAGGCTGAATGTTTATAGGAATAATATACATGTCATGTTAGAACTATTAACATTTTCCATAAGTTTGGTTTACAATAAAAAACTTATCATTTATTTAAAATTTAAGGCAATACGTTAACATTTATATTTTTCTTAGGTTCCCTTATCGGTTGCAGGTCAATTACCCAGCGTAGCTAGTTTGAAAAGAACAATACAACGTGCTCGTCGAACTAAACTAAATGCTCCTGTAAACCCTTTAAACTTTAGTTTTGATATTCCTGAAGAATTTACAAAGACGAAAAATGGCGACGATTTTCTTCTTTTTGATAACAAATCGGATACAAAAAGAATATTATTGTTTTCAACGAAAAATAGTTTGGAGTTAATGAATAATTGCCTTAATTGGTTTTGCGATGGCACTTTTACTTGTTCACCTATTCCGTTTAAACAGTTATATACCATTCACGCTGTACATTATTCAAATGTTATCCCTTCTGCTTACGCTCTTCTACCCGACAAAAAGAAGATACATATATACAAATGTTTAAGGCTCTTAAATCATTAAACCAAAATTTAAATCCCAAGTCTATTATGATGGATTTCGAAAAAGCAGCGATGAATGCTGTTAAATCTGAATTTCCAAATACCTCAATTAATGGATGTTTTTTTCACCTATCACAATGTATTTGGCGCCACTTACAAGAAGCAGGGTTACAAAAAAATTACATACAAGATTCTGAATTTGCCTTACATATTCGTATGTTACCTGCTCTTGCTTTTGTGCCACAAAACAAAGTTATAAAAGACTATGAAAAACTTTTAGACTCTGAATACTTTTCTGAAAATGAAGAACTTTTAATGCCAATTATAGACTACTTTGAGGGCACCTGGATAGGCCGTTTGCATCGTAGAGGCCAAAGAAGAGATCCGATCATCCCCATTAGTGTATGGAATTGTTATGATTTAGTAGCGGCAGACCTTCCACGAACTAATAATTCCGTTGAAGGATGGCACAATTGTTTTTCGTCTACACTTAATTCATCCAAACATCCATCAATTTGGAGATTTATACATGCACTCCAAAAAGAAGAAAGTATTAATACTTTAAAAATTCAGCAGTATGTCGCGGGTCAAGAACCACCATCAAAAAAAATATATAAAAATAAAAGTGAAAATTTAAAAAAAATATGTGCAGATTATAATAACCGTGCAACAATGGATTACCTTCGTGGTGTTGCATACAATTTCCAACTACAAATATAAAACTATGTACTTAATATTATTGACATCCACAAACGTGGAAAAATACTCAACATTATAATTATTTTTTATGTATTATTAGTATATTATTATTATTATTATTACAATTATTTATTTATTTTTATTTAATGTTATGTGAACATACGAACAGTTTTTGCACGAACAATTTTCGTATTCGAACAATTTCCAGGCGAACATTAGACGCGCGAGCAATTGTCGCGCGAACTATTTTCGGCGAACAATTGACGTGATACCATTTTATACAATTTTTTCTTGCATTTTTTCATAAGTTTTTTTTTTTTTTTACTTAAATTGCCTATTACCTACGAATTGGGCTAACTTTGTTTCATCTGAAGGTAACTCTAATCTCATTTTCTTAATTAATGACCAAATAGAAGGATGATTGTGGTCTACTAATTTTGAAAAACGATGGTTCCACCCTTCTGTTTCGTTGTTAGTTCGATGTCCATTATCAAGTGTAGTTTGATAGACATTCCATATTGATGGTGGATAGAGCGGTGCAATATTTCGAAGTCTGATACCATTATTCGGATTATGCTGAACACTTCTGTAAGACCCATGGACATACGTGGTATCAAAATAATCGACTAAATCTGTTGCCTCCGGTGGCATAATTGTTCTTAAAAAATCCATTCCCTCTAAAACTTTGTTTTCTGGTAAAAATGCTAAACTATCGAGTTTTCTACAAAATATACTAAACCTACTTTAGATGAATAATTTTCAAAATTTAGATTTTAATTTTTTAAATGTTAATAGTAATTTAAAATATAGTACGCAGATTATAAATAACTTAAATAATATTGTCAAAAATAATAATGATTGTTTAGTCCTAAGCATGAATATTCGAAGTATTCATAAACATTTTAATGAACTTACTATTTTTTTAAATCCCTCAGAAATTATGTTTGATATAATCTGTTTGTTTGAAACGTGGTTGGAAAAAGATACTTTCGTTTTTCACATTGATGGTTTTACAAGTTATAATTATTATAAAAAATTAAATAAATCTGATGGTATTACAGTATTTATTAGAAACTCATTTAAAATTAATTCGGTAAATTTAGGGTTGATCAGTTATTGTAGCTCTTTGAATATCAACATTTCAAATAATGATTATGTTTTAAATTTAATTTGTGTGTATCGATCTCCAAGTTTATTACCAGAACATTTTATAGATAGTTTAGAAATTTTTTTGGATAATATAGATTATACCAAATCGTACATATTCTGTGGTGATATAAATATTGATTTAAATAAAATAGATGTAAATACTGTAAGGTACCAAAATATGTTAAGTTATTATGGTTTTAAATCTTGTATAAATGAAGATACTAGAGTAAATCTTATAAATGGATCCTCATCTTGTATTGATCATATTTTTCTAAAACACGCAAATGTCTTTGATAATGTTATGGGATATGTGTGTCAAAATAGCATAACTGACCATTATAGTAGGTACTATGCTATCTTTTAACAAAATTGGTTTAGTTAAACTAAAAAGTAACATTTCTTATGAGAAAAATATTGATTATATTCTTTTTGGCAAACTTATAAACATCCTTAACCAAGAAGATTGGGTTAATGTGTTGAATTCAACAAATGTAGACACAGCAATCGAACTATTTTTTTCTAAAATAAAAAGTTCAATAGAAACTTGTAAGGTAACAAAACGTATGTGTTTACCTAAATCTAAAACTAATATTAAGAAATGGATTACTTCCGGTATTGTAATATCAATAAGACGTAGGGATAAATTATTTAATAAATTGAAAAAACAACCTTTCAATTCAAGTCTAAAAAATAAATATAGAAAATATAGAAACCTATTAACAAAAGTAATAAAATGTGCCAGAGACATGTACTTTTCTAAGCATATAATTAATTCAAAAGGAGATCCTAAAAAAGTTTGGGATTTAATTAATGAAGCAATGTACAATAAAACAAAGAATAACAATAAAATAAATATTTCATCAATCTTAGATTCTAAAAATAAAATATTAACAGATAGCACTGATATTGCAAATGAATTTAAAACATTTTTTACTACAGTTGGTGAGAATATTGCTCACCAAATTAAAATCCATAACCCTATTAAAAAGGATAAACCCAATATTAAAATCAACTCTAATTCGATTTTCCTTAATTATATAACTAAAGAAGAGATTAAAAGCCATATCCTAAGCTCCAAAGAAAGTACCTCTTTTTATACTTGTAATTTATCAAATCATATATTAAAACAAATAATCGACTATATACTAGTTCCATTAGTACATATTTTTAATTTATCTCTATCAACGGGAATCTTCCCAAATTTATTCAAACATACATTAATTATACCCCTTTATAAAAATGGTGAAAAACAAAATTGTTCTAACTACCGTCCAATATCCTTAACGTATACTTTATCAAAAGTTCTAGAGAAATGCTTAAAAACACGTTTGTATAATTTTCTTGAAAAATCAAATATTTTTTCAGAAAACCAATTTGGTTTTAGACAGAATAAAGGTACTTCCATTGCTCTACAGACTCTTGTCAGTTGTATACATAAGAAATTAGATGAGGGTAACTCTACTATTGGGATTTTTCTAGATGTAAAATAAGCATTTGATTCTGTGGATCATAAAATATTGTTAAATAAACTAGATAAATATGGTATCCGAGGGGTAGCAAATAACTTGGTAAAAAGTTTCTTAGAAAATCGTAGACAACAAGTTCGTATAAATGATGTGCTTAGTTCCTTAAACCCTTTAAATTATGGTGTCCCACAAGGTACAGTATTAGGACCATTACTATTTATTGTATATATTAATGACTTAGGTACTAAATTTGGATACCAAATGCTCTATTTACTGTTTTGCGGATGACACAACAATTTTAATTCATGACATAAACAATATTAATTTAATGCGCAAAGCCTCAATTATTATGACATCTGTAAAAAATTGGTTTAATGCAAATTCTTTAGAAATTAATTTTAATAAAACATGTTATATATCTTTTTCAATATCAAAAATTAGAAGTCTTGATATTAATGAACCCATTAAAATCCATGATGATTTTATATGTCAAGATACATATTTTACGGGTACTTGTAATTGTAACTGCACATATATAAGAGGTGCAGAATCTGTAAAGGATCTTGGTGTCATCATTGACAGATTTTTAAAATGGAATTTACATATCGACTTAACTATTAAAAAATTAAGAAGTATGTTTAGTAAGTTTAGAACGTTAAACACTATTTTATCACCTAGCAATATGAAAATGGTTTTCTGTGCCATCGCACAGTCAGTTTATTCTTACGGAATTAGTGTGTGGGGTGGTACCTTCGATAAATACCTAAATTTGCTAAGAACTACGATAAACTCATTATTAAGGATAGCTTTTAAGAAACCATCACGTTCTAATACTGATATATTATTTAATACTCATGGCATTCGTAACCTAAAGAAATCTCATGCTAAAGAATTACTAACAAATTTATATTTCTATAACCTTGATAGCGTCAGTTTCAACCACAATTATTCTACACGTAATACAATAAACAATAATTTTAAAATAAATAAATATAATACCGAATTTGGTAAAAGAGATCCATTCAATATAGGTATGCATTTATGCATGCAATATGATATTCCTATTAAACTTTTTAATAACTATGATCAATATAAAAAATACATTGAGTACAAGATAAAAATTTGTTTGTAAATACCTACATAGTATAGGTATATCATTTATTACATTATATTTCAACATTTTCCAGTTTTATCTATTATTTTATATTATTGAGTATTATTATATTCATTACTATTAAGTTGTTTGATAATAAGGATGAACCAATGTAATTATTCTTATTTGTATAATATTACCTCTCAAATAAGAACTGTTGTCTACTCCACAAGCCTAGGCTTTTGGAGACAATCATTTATAATTTATCATTTGTGTAATTTAATTAAATTTTATATTTTCGGTTGTATAATATTCTTTAAATTGTATTTGTATATTTCTTTAAATTCAATAAATTATTATTATTATTATTATTATTATACTAAGATACCAATACCAGTTTTAAGATAAAGTCAAATGGCAATGACTTTTATTAATGAGTTTAATCTTTTATATTTCAAATGTATATTTATAGTATTTATACCTGCTATAGTTTAAAATATTTGACTTATTTTTTATGGTTATAACTTATAGATACCAGCTATATCTAAAAAGGGTTACATAATTCTTCACATAGTTAAATTTTCAAAATATTTCGTTTATTTTTAGCTAACCTAACCATATATATCCGTATATCTTAAATCGTGGCTACCACTCTTACCAGTCGACGATACATTAAATAAGTTAAATAAAAAAAAAAAAGGGTGGGTAAGTGGATGTCGCTCTGATGTACAGTAGATTACTAGTAGGTCACTGTATAATGGATGATATTAAATTTGAATCCAATGATATAATATCATTGCAGTATAAGTAAAACGATTCTGAGCGAAGACGGTCAGTCGGTCAGTTAATTCATTTTTCCCAAAAAAATTACATTTGAAAATGCCATTGCGTGTATATAAAATATAATAATATAGGTACTCTAAAAGTTTCAAATACCAACAAATAATATTTTTAAATTATAACAAAATAACTAAAATCATTATTCTTGGTTTAAATTTGTAATTTTGTCAAAATTTGAATTTAAAATGTCTGTAAAAAATAAATGTGTTTATATATTTTTTGGTTACAGTATGAACTATTAAAGAGAATCTTTGTTTTAAATTTTCAATTCTTAGTTATAAAAACTGAACATTTTATAATTTTTTAATTTCAATGATTGATAATTTTCGAGATTTTGACAAATTTTGTCGAAATTCGAACTTTAAATGCTTATAAAAAAAATCGTGCCTATGGATTTTTAAAATTTTTCAACTGATGATAGTGTAACAATATATTAGAAACCTTGTATTAAATGTTCAGACTTTATGGCCCAC